AAGGGACATAGAAAAAGGAAGTTTCACTCTTTGACTGCTTGCTCTCTCACTTGTTGGCAAGTTCATTTACTCACTGGCATTAAAGCTTACCTCCTCAGCCATAATTGAAGATCAGCCATGATGTACAGTTTCATGGAATGAATAAGTACTGAATTCTTAGACTTTCTGTTGGTAGACAGCCATTGTTACACAAGTTAGACAACAGGCTGTGAGGCACTATACTAAATCCCCTTTATATATTTATAAATAAATAGATAGATAGATAGATAGATAGATAGATAGATAGATAGATAGATAGATAGATAGATGTGCATATATTTATTCTATCAGTTCTGTTCCTTTGGAGAACCTTGAATAATACAATACATATACATATACCAACAATTAATGAAAAAAAGAGGCCATGAGGAATATAAGAGATTGCTTGGAGGGAGATGGAAGGGAAAATGTTGTTATATTATAATCTCAAAAGTAAAAATAATTTTAAAAATATTTAAGTCAAATGACACAGTATTGTAACTGGAAAACTGGAAATCATGTTGTCTATCATTATCGACCCAGTAATCAGAGAGAGAAATTCAGTCCTTGAATTTTCTTTATTCAAAGAACTAGGAATTTGAGAAGACAGAAGATTAACATTCTAAAGATCTGTCTTCCATCTCATCTTCATTTGGAGAATAATGTTGGGAACAGAAAGAAAGGCAGCCAATCACTCCAAAGTATGCTTCTTTCCTCTGTTCATGTAGCCAGTCAGATCTTAGATCCAAGGTGATGATGCTTCTCTCTTACACTTCTGTCGACTTTTAGCTGACCCATGAGGATCTTGTCTGCTGGACCTTGGCTCTGAGGACCTGAAAGAATGAAATGGACTACAATCTAATGCTGTAGACAAACTTACTTCAGTTTCAGTGTGCTTTTATATAAGAATGAAACAAAGAATACAATGATCTATGGAAGGTTGCTTGAGTTCAAAAAATATGATTAGAAAAAATGTAAACGAATGCCAATAAGCACGCATTAAATATTAACAAAGCGGCCCTTTCCCAGAACTTTCTCAATACAGACCAATTTAGACACAATTGCCTGGCACGCACTATAGATTATATCTGGGAAAGCATGAAAGCAAAGCAGAAGGCCATATCCAGATTCAGGGTACACTGACCAGATTGAGTGCTATAGCTATGTTCTGAAATCCAAAAATAAATGAACATATCCTATAAATTAAATGTAAATGTAACTGGAAGCATGTAATCACATCCAAAAATGATCCAGGGAACAAAATGCACCTGAGGTAGAAGGCCCTCTGCCTTTTCACTGGAACTTCTCATAGTTCTCCAAGGCATTGTTCACGGTGCGTCATTCTTTTGACTGTGTCCAAGCACACCTCTTGTACTTTTCCTCATTATTGTTTCTCTCTGTATAGGGGAAGGTTCACATATACCAAGGCCATGGCTGGTAAGCCTCTCATTGTAATCGGAAGGTTTCTATGGTCCTGCCCAGGCCCCATGGTCCCGCATTCCTCCGGTCCCACCTGGCCCCTGCTGTCCCATGGCAGCTTATAAAATAATCATTCAGAGGCTTAATATTAATTGTCAATTGCATGGCCTAAGACAGGGTTCTTGCTAGCTAGCTCTCATAACTTAACCCATTTATATAATCTATAAGTTGCCACATGGCTGTGGCTTGCTTCTCCTGGCAGCAGTTGGCATCTCCTTCCTCTCCTTTCTCCTCCCACTCTCTCTCTTGGATTTGCCCACCTGGTTCCATCCTGCCCTGACATAGGCCAATACAGCTTTATTTATCAACCAATCAGAACAACATATATTCACAGCATACAGAAAGACATCCCATAATATTGCATTGTTCTCCACTTGTGAAAAGTTAACTCAGAACAGGACCATCTTTAGCAACATCTAGATTCCTTTCTATAATATGAAGTGCAAATGTGGTATTATAAATCAGAGAGGTGCCCCTTATCTGTCCTTCTTGTTCCCTACCAATGTGGCTGATGGACTGTCATAGAAGTCACAAGTTAAAAGATTTTTAACTAAGTTCTCTCACTATAGAAAAATAACGAGATAAATTCATAAAAAAAAAGTTGACAAATTTTAAAAATGCAGAAAATAAAGAAAAATGTTAGTCCTAGAATTTTGCACATGAAAGATTTTTACTCTTTAATTACAAGTATTTTGTAACTCCTCTTTTATTTTCAGATATGAAAATATAGCTTAAATTCAAAATCTGAAAAGAACATTATTTCAAAGCATGCAAATGACATGCTTCCTTGGGGACTTACTCCTTTGTAAATTTTTGACTACTTGATGTAGTATAAACATAAAGGTTACTTTCCACTTAGTAAATCCCATTATGTACCAGGATTTTGAATGTCTTATAGACTTGAGGTTTCAGTCAAAGTGTTATCATTTTTTTTCATCCCTTCACTGCTTGATCTATCAGTCACTTGTCAGTGGAGATCAGACCCTGGTAGTGATTCCATTCATATCTTTCCATTCTGATCTTCATATCTTTGTTTCTCCCTAACCATTTCCTCCTCTTTGATTACTCCCTATACCATATTCTATTGGGTATAATATCCCAAAATTGTGTCATTTAAACACAAAAGCTAATGAAACTTTATTAACTCAGGGAAAGAGAGGAAGAATAAAGAAGACAGATGAAGATTGAAAAGGCCATAGACAGTTTATTTAAAATTACATAGATATGTACATGTGCATATATATTTTTTAATAAAATTACATCATGTGGGGTAACAATGCTCCACCCAAAGCCATAGACTATGTAATAAAATCCCCTGTTCCAAACATGGGGAACTTTTCTTCAAATCGCTGGTCAGGGCGGTCTAAAGGACTTCATATACTGCCTTTGGTTGCTTTCCAGAACTTCAAACAAATAAACAAAAACAGAAAACAAGCTATACACGCCATCAGGGGCTGGAGGGATGGCTCAGTACAATCATTAAGATCACTTGTTGCTTTGCAGAGCATTGGTTTGGTTCCCAGCACCCACATGACAGCTTAGAACCATATGTGACTCCAGGAAATCGATTTTTTTCTTTTTCTTTTTCTTTCTTTCTTTTTTTTTTTTTGGTTTTTCGAGACAGGGTTTCTCTGTGTAGCTTTGTGCCTTTCCTGGAACTCACTTTATAAACCAGGCTGGCCTCGAACTCACCGAGATTCGCCTGCCTCTGACTCCCGAGTGCTGGGATTAAAGGCGTGCACCACCACCGCCCGGCCGATGCTTTTTTTTTTTAACCACCATGTTCCTAAACCCGTATAATTCCCAACTACATTCTAAATACCTATCCTTATATTCACAGAATATACATCTCACCATTCATCAAAGAAGCATCTTTTCACAGCAGATAGAAACCATGACAAAAATCCATAATAAGGCAAAATGTAGAGAACAACTGCTCCCCAATTGATACACACATAATACAAGCCTTACACCTAAGGCTCAGAGAACATTTCAGAAGAGGGATGGAAGGACTACAAACTCTAGAGGTCCAGATTGTCTGCTGCAAGATTGTGTTTTCTAGATATGACAGGAAATTCTTCCCATTAACTCTTAATGTCATAATTATCTGAACAAGATTGTCACAATGACACCACCAGTTGACATCTCAATATGGGTGGATGAAATCTCACAAGGCCCCACCCATAGGTAAAAGCTATAGACTATTAATAACTGCCGAGAGAGGGAGATTCAGTCTTCTCAAGGGATGAGTAACCTGATAGGTTATCCAATACCAAATGTTTGGCTCTAAAAGTGTGTACACAGAAAAGCAACACTCCACAAACTCAACAGGAGTGTTTGTGTGTAAAAATAACTGAAACAAAAGAGTCCATGAAAGTTGCCATGAAGTGGAGAGGACATGGGGGAAGTCAAAGGGAAGAGAGGGAGTAAAAATGTAAATACGGTGCAAATACATGAAATTCTCCAGAAATGTTCTTAGAAAGAATGGATATAGCACATCCAGTAATGCTATTACAAAATCCCCACTACTGGTCTTCGAGTGTCCTCAATGACCTCCCTGTTGCCCTCTTCTGAGGCACCAACTGCTACACATTCACCCATGTTTTTTCTCCCACTGCAGGAATGCCATGCCCCAAAATGACGACGAGGGCTTCAGAAACACCGTCTCCTGCAGACACTTCAGAATCCTCACAGGAAAGCTCAGGAAACTGCTCAGGGGCCAAAATAAGAACACTTTATTGCATGTACAAGGCACAAATTTTGTAGCTCCTTAGATATTTGCATGGCTATGCAATTATACTTTGTGGTATCATTATTGATGGTTTGAAAATATACAAATAGCATAAATCAAACACAGCTCAAACTATGAAAAATGTAAACCATAAACATCAAAACCATATAACACTCATTCAGTTCTCAGTTGCTTACCTGCCATATACATAATTTCTTATACATATATATACAACAAAAGCCTAAAAAAATATTCTGAGGCTAATCACTATATAAATATGAAAATAAATCTTTACCCTTAACCTCAACTTTATCTTTAGAGGAGGGAGGACAGTCTGTATTTATTCAAATTACACATAGTACTAAAAATCAAATGTTGTAAAATACCATATAAAGAAAAATAAATTATGAGAATGAACAGGCCTCGAAGGTAACAGTGAAAAAATGCCTACTTTTCCAACATTATTTTCCATAATGAAATTAAAATATTATCTAATATGTTAAAGTGCACTTAAAAGATATATATATCATCATTGTGATTTTAAAAGTTGTCTAAGGAAAAATGGATGCAATATAAGTTACTTGAAAGAAATGTGCGAATATTTCAAAGTAAGCTTAAACTGAAAATATTTTGTCCTTTCTTTTTTTTTTTTTTTTTTTTTTTTTTTTTTTTTTGGTTTTTCGAGACAGGGTTTCTCTGTGTAGCTTTGCGCCTTTCCTGGAACTCACTTGGTAGTCCAGGCTGGCCTCGAACTCACAGAGATCCGCCTGGCTCTGCCTCCCAAGTGCTGGGATTAAAGGCGTGCGCCACCAACGCCCGGCTTATTTTGTCCTTTCTTAAAATATACTTTAAATTTGGGAACACTTTTGAGAGATCAAAATATAGTTTCCCAGAAAGTCAGCTAAAAAATAGTTTTGAATTGCTTTTCCTTAAACAAGTTTGTTAAGCAGAGATAAAAACCTCTAATTTGAATATTTTATATTCAGATCACTGAAGATGTTGACTTGTTGTTCAAGTTACCTAGACAACATTCTGGTCAACACAGCTGTTCTGGCCCCGCAACCAGAGGCAAAACCCCAGACAGAACTACTATATTAACAATACACCCTTTTGTGTTTTTAAAGAGTATAGAAGCAAAAAAATATATGTATGTGAGGGAAATAAAGAAAACATGGTAACACACATGCTAACAGAGTCTATTCAGTGAGTGCCACACGTGTATCATTTAATAATATGTAAGATTCACCCTTGTCTAGGATCCTCAGTCTGTAAGGTACACACTAATGGCAAACTTAACAGTGTCACGTGTTATAAAAATAATCACTACTCACACTTGCCATCTGTGTCAATTTCTCACAAAGTATTCTTCTTGATCAGAAATGTAACCTATTAACTGGGGCTGCAAACCACTAAACATAAAATAGCCATTCATTTGTAGTTACTGAAGATTGAATTTTCTTATTTGGGATAAGGTATGTGGCTTTGGGGAATAACTGTACCTAGTCAATTCCCAATTAGGAAAAAAATGAAGCTCAAAAAAGTTGAAGTTTGATAACAAAAATCAAAGGCACAAAAGGTTGTTTAAAAAAAATGTTATTTAAAAAGAAGTATTTATTGCTCTGTGTATATGTGTACACGTGTCATTTGGTCATTATGGCACACATGTGTGAAGGTCAGAGAACCACTTTCAGGAGTTCAGTTTTCCCTGCCACTACAAGTTCAGGCACAAATTTGGGGTTAGCAAGCTTGGGCAACAAGTACTTTTACTTCCTGAGACAAGTTGCCAGTCCAGGGAATTGTTTTAATTCAAAAAAAAAAGAAAAAAGAAAGAAATGTTTGAACATACATAATACAATTTACATAAGTAACCAGTATTATTTATGTTCTGGATAAGCTATTCAAAACCTAGAGCTGGATGAACCAAAATATTTAAGTCTCTTGCTAAGAATAATCTAATCGGCTCAGGCTACTGGAAACCCCTTTTGCTGGCCCATCCTGGCTAAGATAGTGAGGCCTTTGCCTCTTAAAAACATTTTTGTCAGAAGGAGTGGGAGGCACTGCAAATTCCAGGAGAAAAGCAAGACTAATCATGTCCTGGATGATGAGTAGTCACAAGTCACATTATCTAAAGGTCAGCCTCACCTTTTTACAGCCAATTCTCCTTTAAATGCAGCACTTTCCAAAGCCATGTCTAATAACAATCTCCCATTGTTCATGAAGAAGGAAATTAATGATTGGAGTTAGGGGCTGAGGAATTGGCACTATGCTGTAGATAATGCTCTAAATCACAGGGCAATGTGAAAAAGTATCAATATATTCATCTGGTAAAATATTGTTACCTTAGGTACCATTGTATTTTCTATGAAACATATTTCACATTCATAAAATTAATCCTTTCCAAATACAAAATTTCCAGATTTAAAATTATGCCACTACTACTGCCCACCTAATTTCAGAAGACTGTGGCCATACTCCTAAGAAGGCATATGCACATTGGTCATTAGTACCAACTACCCGCAGCCTCTGGCAGCTATTAAGTGGAATATATTTTTGTGGCATTGTTCATTCAGTAGTATGTATTATACATAACTTCACTAAAATTTTCACATACAATTTAAACCACAGACTTAACAAGTAGTCTTGAAATTGTATTTTCTTGTTATACACATTTTTTCAAACGTACCTTCATTTATTCATGATAAGTATTTTTTATTTACATTGGAGTCTAAAATAATTCTAATTTCTCAAATAAATTCTAGTCTTACTTCAGAAATTTAAAAAGACCAATACCTCATTATCAAAAGGTATGCTTAACAGGGTTCTTAGTAAATGAACAACTGTGCTCTTCCTGCTTCTTAAAATGCTAGAGAATCCAAGAGGCACTGGAGACTAACTCCTTGTTTTACAGAGGGGAAGAGATCTAATGTGGCCTAGACATACCCAACATTATCACACTAGGGAATAGCAAAGCCGATTTTCCAAATGAAAATACTCATGCTACCTTATACCACCCATAGTTTAAAGATATAATACATAATATACTACCCGTCCCATTGTTCTTTGTATTAAAACACTGAATTTCATAAAACAAAGTATTATGCATTTGTGTTGAAATTTTTAAGTAAACACTGTCACAGGTTAACTACAAAGTTGGTTTTCTTATGAAGCAATTTTATAAGTGGGTTCTCAATAGTTTTGTTCTGAGAATGTAATTTTATTTTGCCATATCATATTAAAAACATTAACACATTTTCTCTTCGTGATCTATAGGGGCAGACATCCCAAATAACTCACTGAGATAGAACAAAGAAAGCCCGAGGTTCCTGAGAAGAGGCAAGCACAGCTTAATTTGCCAGGCTGTGATTCTTCATAGGCTGGTGTTGTGTGACGCACCACTCCATTGAGAACCAGTGTCCCACAATCAGTATTCTAGAAACAAGGACTTTATGAACTGAAGACAGTCGGAGCTTAGCCATTGCAACAGTTCTTCATCTGCAGTGACTTTTTGGATGTGGACCCAGCTAGACTGGTAATGGATCTGCTGTCATCATCCTCTGTCCTTTTCTTCACTTCCCTGGGAGATGGGAGAAAAAGATTACAGCTGAACTAAGCTATTTGTTTACTTACCTGTGGAGATTAATTACAGGACAACGGAAAATTATCATAGTTTCCAAATACAAAGCCTTGATAATTTTACCATTTAAAAAAAAAATGTCTCATCTATATCTAAATTACAGGTTGTCAGCTACAAAAGCTCAGAGGGAGAGATTGATATCTAGATAAACAATTACAGGGTCACAGGTTTGTACTTAATACACCTGTATAGTGTCTTCTAGGAACCAAGGTCCTCCTCAGAGATGCTGATACTGAAGAACCCCTGGGATTGTTTGAATTAAATGTGCCCCATATTCTCAAGCATGTGAAAACGTAGTCCCTAGATGGTAGTGCTGCTTATGTAAATTTAGAGGTGGAGGATTCTGCTGGAGGATGTCACTCTAAGCAGTATTTGAGGTTTCAAAATGGTACCTGGGTACCATTCTATGTTTGCTCTCTGCTTCCTGTTTAAGATTGGACATGAGAGCACTCAGCTCCATTTCCATCTCCAGTCACCATCCCTACCTGCTGCCACACATCCTTGCTGTGATGATGATAATGGGCTCTTAAGCCTCTGGAACAATAAGCTTCCTAAAATTCTTCCTTCTACAAGTTGCCCTTGTCATGGTGTTTTATCACAGCAATAGAAAATTAACTAAGACGGCCTCTTTTTTAAAAAAATTGAGGGATTCCCTTTCTTAGGAGCCATTGAATGCCTATATCTCTTCATCTTGAGGTGGGATGAACTCCATGATAGGTTATCCAACCCCATGTGGTCGTTGCTAAATACATTTATATAAAAACAACATGAAAAGGGCTCAGCAGGTGTGTGTGTGTGTATGTGTGTGTGTGTGTGTGTGTAAAAACAACTAAAGAAGACATGGATTTGAGAGGGAGTCAGGAGGACATGGGAGGAGTTGGAGCAGGAAGAAGGAATATTATAAATAAGGCAAAGGTAGTATTCAAGTATGAAATTCTCTAAAAAATATTAAATTAATTTTAAAAAAAGAAGTGACATTCACCTGGTGTCACTTCAGCAGGGGAATTCTAGATTCAGAAACAGCATGCACAATGGCTAAGGCCTAAAAGAACTTGGATAGTGCTAGACAGAAAGATTGCTGTGTCTATAAATTATTATAAATTTTCAAAAAAAAAAGTGGATTCAAGTAGAGATGTAGGTAAAGTGAGGCCATGAGGCTTATGGGAAAGAGCCTGGACACCTTACACTCTATGTAAAGTACAAGGTATAGACTATGAGCAAAACCAGAAACTGCAGTTTTTGTTATAAATATTATAGAACTAGAGTGTATCACAGTGGTGGAGAAGTTGTCCACACAAGGCCCTTTCCAGCACTGGGGGAAAAAAATGAAAGAGCAAAATCAGGCAAACAAACAAATATATATATATATATATATATATATATATATATATATATATATATATTATATATATATAAAATAAAGTGATGATGGAGGAAATCTGAGGCACAAACATTTGCACCTAAGTAGGAATTTGTAATACTCAACTAGTTTCAAGAGAAGGAGAAAGTGAAGTATAGATTCAAGAGACATGCAAACACTAATGAATCAAAGATTCTCAAAAGCCACTGGCACTGGAATTGAATCAAGACTGACTTATGTGACTAGGCTTTAATTGAAGCTGTGTATTATGGCTCCAACTTTTACACTTTCATTTTATTAGCTATGCTAATATCTTACTGAATCTAGTACAGGGCTGTATACACATCAAGTCTTCATAATAATGCACATATTATTAGGCCTGCAAATAAATATTAAGGGGAATATATGCACCGACAGCTTTCATCTGGCCTTCAGTTTCTTGAATATACCAAAAATGCAGGTATGTCCTATGTTAAGGACATACTGATAAAAAAAAAAACAAAAAAAAAAAAAAAACAAAAAAAAAAAAAACTAGAGGTCTAAGCCAGGTCAATTAAAGTTATAACAACAATAGCACAACAGTAAGTGACTCATAAGAAGTCTGTCTGATTTAATAGCCTAAAAGCCTACTAAACAGCTATGGCCTGACTGTCACAGGACTGAGATGACCATTCCATCAAAATGTCTTTGCTCACCAGTTGTTGGTTTTTATAAACTTGCTAGGCTGTGGTGTCGCATGCCTTTAATCCCAGCACTTGGGAGGCAGAGGTAGCCAGATTTCTCTGAGTTCATGGCCAGCCTGGTCTACAAAGTGAGTTCTAGGACAGACTCCAGAGCTGCACAGAGAAACCCTGTCTTGAGGGGGAAAAAAGACTTATTTTGTTTTTTGTTTATTTATGAGTATTTTGTAAGCATATGCTGGTGCACACATGTGCCTAGTGCTGGTGGAACCCAGAAGAAGTCATCAGATCCCCTGGAACCAGAGTTACAGACAGCTGTATACCAGCACATGAATAACTGAGCCCAGGTCCTATGAAAGAGCAGAAAGTGCTAATAACCAATAAACCATCTCTCCAGCCTTGAACACCAGCTGTTTAAGTAAAGCTAGTATCCATGCTACACTGTAAACAGCAGCTCACATAAGACCAAACAGCAATGGTCTTTCCTTTCTTTTTACATAAAAAGACTTGAACCTATAGTTGGGATATGACTAAGATACTCTATCCTTGTGACTTTACTATGGCCCCACAAGACAACTGAGCACTAAATTGTGACCTTATTTAATAGAATGAAGGCCATTTCACAGAAATACAGACTTCTAACATTGGAAAGTACCTTTGAGGCCATTTTATTCAGTCCTCTTTCTAATTGTACAGATTAGAGAGGTCTGCAATAAAGCAGAAATGTACAGATGACTCCAGAGCTTGCATTTAGGAGTGGACTTTGAGAGCCCGTACCATAGCTCAGAAGTACAGCACCTTCATACAGGCCTGAGAACTTAAGATTGATCCCCAGGGCCCAAGTGAAGGTGGAAGAGAGTCAACTCTACACATGTATACCATGGCATGTGCATGTCCACACTCACAAACACACATATGCACACACACACATATATAAGCACTCATGTATGACATGTATAATTAATACTATTACATTACTACTACTAAATATGATAATAATAAATAAATAAAGCTTTTTTGTGAAGAATGAACTTCGAGTCTCACTTTGTCACTCCCTTCCAATATGGAGGCAGCAGCTTGTTGCCACTTATAGGGTATAAGTATTTCTTCGCTGAATGCTTGTGCCCAGAAATTTTCAGATTTTTGAGTTTTACAGGTTTGAGAATATTGCATAGATTTTACCAGATAGGCATACATAATTTAAAAAAATAATTGAAATGCTCCACAATTAAACATGTTTTGGTCATCATGACAACATGTCACAAGTGTAGAAACTGAGACCGAGTACAATGCCAGCTCTTACTAAACCTTGGCCCAGCAACACTCTAAGGAGTGTGGGTTCTTTCCTTCACTATATGTAACTTATTTAGACACAGAAATTGATGCTCCCAATGGTCCCAAAAGCACAGAGTCATCATTTGACTTAGCAGATAAAAGTGTGGCAATGGCTGCTTTCTGCCAACAGTAACATTAGCTCAGGTCAAAACAAAGCAAAACCCCACATGTTCACAAGACTCTGTGCTTGTTTCTGCCTATTCTAGGTTACATATAATGTCAATGTTGCTTTTTGTTTTAAGCAGATTATTTCCTTGGCTGAGGTGGGAGTCCTTAGACCATTGTTAATGCCCAAACTGTTCAATGACACTAAGTCTGAGCCCAGGACACCTGCTGTTCCTTGCCACAAACAGATGTTTCTTGGACCTATGGAAGACCTGAGGCCTGTTTACTCATTTTTTCAAGTCAGGGTAGTCATCTGTTCCTAGATCACACTCCAAGCATTCTGATCAGAGTCTGACTTACCAGGTGCTATAAATCTATGTCACCAATTAAAATGTAGCAAGGAAAACCAGAGGTCAGTTTTCACACTAATTATTCTTACACGAATTCAAAAATCACCAGAAAAAGAACTGCATGCAGAAAACTATGTAGTTGTTTGTCTACAATTAGAGAATACTGTCCTTATTTAAATTTTGTGGATTTTTTTCCCTTTTAGTAGATACATAACTCCTTCATTACAGCAAGAAATTATGCTTCCATTAGTGACAGACTGCCTTAGTTAAGGTTTCTGTTGCTCTTACAGAAAACCATGAACAAGTGTTACTTGGGGAGGAAAGGGCTTATTTTAGCCTACAATTCCACACCACAGTCCATCAGCCAAACAAGTCAGGTGAAGAAACTGGAGGCAGAAACTGAAACAGGAGCCAGAGAACACTGCTTACTGGCTTGCACCCCACGGTTTTCTCAACCTGCTCTCTTATCCACCGCAGGACCACTTGCCCAGGAGTGACACCACACACAGTGGGTTGTGCCCCCTCAAGTTAGTCACTCATAAAGACAGCACTCCACATGCTTGCTTACCATGTAGTCTATGGAGGCATTTTCTCGACTGTGCTTTTCTCTTACCAGGCAAGTCTACCTTGTGTCAGGTGGACAAAAAAAACTAATAAGGAAAATTGACTCATTCTCAACTTGAAACACAAACACACTACTGTTAAATCATAACCTTTCCTTTCTTGTTCGTTTTCAAGATCTCAATATTAGTATTACAATATAAAACATTTCAACTTTTAAAATACCAAAGTCTTTAAATTCAAACGCAAATTTCAAAATTCAAAGTTTCTATGATATACTCAAAGTCTCTTTAAAATTCCAAATCTCTTAACTGTAGAATCCTGTAAACAAAAAATAATTTACATACTTTTCTACTCCAACATGGAAGAACCAGGGCAGTCACAATTAGATCAAAGCAAAGCCACAGGAAAAGTTCAGTGTTTGATTTATGAAACCCATTCCTCTGGGCTTCAAAGTTATGTGCCCAGTCTAAGCTCTATCACACACAAACAGTGTGGCTCATAGGCTGAGGCCAGCTACAAGCTGAAGGTGCTTTGGTTTTTGATGTGACTCCATGGTACTGGCATCTCAAAAATGCTGAGTCTCTGTGCAACTGAGCTCCATTTTTCCAAACAAATGCTTCTGAACTTACTTTAGGGACCCTGCCTGCCACATGGTACCAAGCTTAAATTTCTCTCCAATCCCTTCAATCCTGGGGATTTAACTGCAGGTGAGTCTGCACCCTCACCAATGGCCTCACATGGCCTCTCACAATACCAAGCCTCAGCTGCTCTCCATGACCCTTTCATTCCTTAAAAACCCAGTACCACCTGGGAGACATCACCAAGTTTGGCTATAAGTGTGAAATACAGCCTCAACCCACCTATGGACCAGGGCTTTTGTATGCTGACCCTAAGGAAACACAGAAGATTTTATCTTAGTAGTACTTGTCTCTTAGTAGTCATCACTAATTTATCAGCTCCAGCTGACCAGTGTTGATAGTCCCAAAAAAGCAAAGATTCCATTTTAGTGCTTCTGGTCTCTTCTCAAACACAGCTGATTCAGCCCCAGCTGACAAGGATTATATAGTCTCCATTCAAAATATCACATGAAGAGTCCCAATAAAGTCTTTGAAGAACTCCAAAACTTCCCTCTGACACTTCAAAATCCAAGTGCCTATCATCTGTATTTTTTTTGTATCTCTCAATTTTCTCTTCAAAACTCCCACAGAATAACTCATTAAGTTCTGAACATCAAAGATTTTTCTTGCCTTAAGTTCAGTTCCATAATCCTTTCACAATCGGCCCAAAACAATGTGGTTAGGTCTGTCCTGGCAATAGTCCACTCTTTGGTACAAATTTCTATCTTAGGGTTACTATTACTGTGATAAAACAGCATGACCAAAAGGAACCTGGGGAGGAAATAATTTTTTTGAGCTTACAGTTCCATGCCACAGACCATCATGGGAGACAGGACAGTGACCTGGAAGCAGAAACTGAAGCAGATACCATGGAGAAATGTTGCTTGCTAGTTTTCCCTTCATGGCTTGCTCAGCTTATTTTCTTATATGGCCCAGGACCAAATGGCCAGGGGGACCAAATGGCCAGGGGGACCAAATGGCCAGGGGTGGTAGTATGCAGAGTTGCACCAAATCAATCATTAATAAAGAAAATGTCCCAGAGGTTTGCCCACAGATCAATCTGGTGGGAGTACTGTCTCAGTTGAGGTTCCCTTTTTCAAATGACAATATCTGCATTAAGTTGACAGAAACCTGACCAAGGAACACACCAAGCAGAAAATATGAATCAGGGAAATAGTACTGGCATATCTAATACCTGAAGAACTGACATACATGTTTTTATGTAAATCTTCTAATGATGAGTTTTATTCTAATCCACATGTGAAATGTTATGTATTCTCCACACCACTGCCTTCTTTTAATAATTACAAAGTGAGCAATTCAGACAGTGATTCCAAATGGTATGATATGTAATTTGCTATTTTTACCCTAGTTGATCAGCAAAATTTCCTAACAATTAGGCTAATAACAGCCTGTTGTGTTTAAATTTTGGTTTCAGGAGATGACTCTATAAGTCAAGTATCACCTTTCATGGTGATATTTTACAAAATGTTCAAAAAATACTGCAGCTACATCTCTTTTGTTCAGTAATAAAAATATTTAGCCAATGTCGACAATGAACAAGCAGAATTACTAGTTTTTATAATAGATACATATACTGTTTTCTTTACCATGGAAGACAGAACTATGTTCTACAGGAGATATTTTAACTACATGCTATTAGGAAGGAATTTGACATATCCATTAGGTCAGTGAAAAATTGTTTTTTCTAAACACAAGGCAAACTTTACCGAGCAAGATGGAGAACAGCTTCAACCACATTGGAGCCATCTTTGGCACTGGTTTCACAGAATAATGCCCCATAGGTCTGTAGAAAATAAGTACACACAGTTCAGTGAAGGCTTTGGTTAGATTTCCTGATACTTGAGTTATTAAATTAAAAACATTTTTTCCTAGCCAAGTATGGTAGCATGTGGTGATATTTTTATTTGTGCTCTAACAAATAAAGCTTGCCTGAACATAAGAAGGAGGAGCTAGCTACTAGTTAACCACAGAGGTTTGGAGGTCTGTACAGACAGACAGGAAGTGTTAGAGTGGGGTGGAGAGAGGAAATGATAAGGTGGGGTGGAGATAGGAGCTCCCTCTCTTTTGGCAGAGAGTTTCGTAGGGGTAAGAACTAGTGGCTTGCTGCTCTGCCTCGATGATCTTTCAGCTCTTACCCAATATCTGGCTCTGGGTTTTTTTATTAATAAAACTGTTTAGCAATTTGTGTTACAGTGGCACACTTTGGAAGCAAAGGCAGGTTGATCTCCAAGTTTGAGGTCAGCCTGGTATATAGAGTGAGTTCCAGGCAACCAGTGCTACAAAGAGAAACCCTGTCTAGAAAAACAATATATATATATATATGGAGTGGAGTGTGCCTGGAATACCAGCACTAGGCAAGTGAAGCAGACTTCCAAATCTAGCCTGTTATATGTGACTCTACCCCAAACAAACAAAATAAACCAGCCTAAACACAATAATACTAGGAATAGTTCCTGATCTGAAGATTTTTATTTTATATTTAAAAAATGCAAAATTTCATGTGGTGATATTGTGTTCCCCAAAATATTGTATACCCTATAAACTTATCTGGGATCAGGGAACAGAACAGCCACTAAATACAGAGGCCAGAAAATGGTGGCACACATGCCTTTAATCCTATCACTTGGGAGGCAGAGATCCATCTGGATCTCTGTGAGTTTAAAGCCACACTGGAAACAGCCAGGCATGTTGACTCATGTCTTTAATCCCAGGAAATGAGCCTTTAATCCCAGGAAGTGATGGCAGAAAGCAGAAAGGTATATAAGGTATAAGGACCAGGAACTAGCCTGGTTAAGCTTTCAGTCTTTTGAGAAGCAGTTCAGCTGAGAGGCATCCAGTCTGAGGAAACAGGATCAGCCGAGGAATTAGCAAGGTGAAGTGACTGTGGCTTGTTCTGCTTCTCTGATCTTCCAGCATTCACTCCAATACCAGGCCCTGGGTTTGTTTTTATTAATAAGACCTTCTAACAATTCGTGGTATAATTTCATTTACAATAATCAAGCGCATAACACCACATATTCTCTTCAAAAATTCGAGACAGATGAAAATGACAGTTTAAGGTAGTCATTTAAGAATTACATATCTATCAAAAGAATGTTAGCAGTATCAGGTCAATTGGAAGTCCTTGTTTACATAGCAAGACCTTGTCTTGGTGAGGGAAAAAGGGTGTGTTTGCTTGGTCCAGTGGCCAAGGCTTCTTCCATCATAATCTCAGCTTCTTCCATCAGAGTACAGAGCTCCTGCATTGCTCAAGTGAAATATTGCACAGACAACTCCCTTAGCTGCCCTTGCATAGTTAGTTGCTCCTCTGCTTCTAACCTTCAAATGACTCTCATCCTTTTTGAGGCAATATTCAAATGCTTTTCCACAGCCAACCATACACTGCTTAATCTCAAGTTGAGGCGATCTTCAAGCTTTACCTTATATCATATCTTTACCCCATAATTCTCTAGGTACCTGGCCCTTCCCTGTATTTCTCCAGTGGCCTAAATTCCAACTGATCTCAGGATTTTCACACTTGCTCTTCCTAAGAGCTAGGTTGCCAACCTCACTTCAGCTCCTATTTTTGTATTAGATTCTTTGATAGTCATTAAGTTGTTTCTACTTCTGAAAAGCATCTATTAGGTATCCCTGTCATAAAACCCCACAGTTTTTTGGTTTTTATTTTTTATTTTTTGCACTTGCCACAATTCTAACAGTTATATATGTATGCCATTGTAAAGCAAGATGGAGACAGATTCTTTCAATAAAGGACAATTATGGATGCAACATCCTTGGGTGAGGATTAAATATCACCATAAAGTGTAAAGGAAGGATTTGGTAGCTACTCTGTAGCACTGACAGAAAAAAACATTCTACTAGGTTTACATAAGCAAACTGACAAAAAGAAATCTATACAAATCACAAATACACATGTGTAGTACAAACAGTATTCTTTATGGTTATATATGTCAGGAAGAAGCAAAGTAAATCTTGAGGCTTTCAAGAGTAAGTCAAAAGATGCACAAGGAAGCAACTTGAGAATTCAGATTGGCGCTAACAGATGCCAGGCCAAGATCCTAGGTCTAAAGAGGCTACAGGGAAAACTCCTGGCATATGAATGAAAGAGGTAAGTGTCATGTTGGAGATCAAAATGAGTAAATATATAGAAGAAAAGATTGTACTCCTGAGAGTAAAGTATGCAGGCAAAGGACTGTCTTCAACAAAGTGAAATTCATTGTTCCCAAGTCAGAGAACAATATGGGTAACCACTGTACTAACAAAGTGAATGATACAAAGAGGAAGGAATGACCCTGTCTCCTGAAGAATAAGGAGTGAGGATTGTTCCCAACAGAGTCAATCACACAGGGTGAAGACTCTCCTTAAAACAGCCAGACACAGGAGTGATGACTTAATCCACTACAGTGAACTATGTAGGCATGAGAACTGTCTCCAACAAAAAGAACTACACAGAGTGAGAACTATCCCAGAAATAGTCAACTACACAGGATGAGGATATTGTCCAACACCAACAACTACAGGCTCCGACTCTGAACAGTGTAATATACAGTGGTGAGGAATAAAGCATAGTGAACTACAAGGGGTAAGGCATGAAGTAGACAAGTATGAAGTGTCCCTAAAACCATGCAATGTGAGGACTGTGTGCAACTACTCAAAGTGAAAACTATCTCCAATAAAGTGTAGGACAAGGGGTAGGAGATTGGGTCCAACACAAGGTGTTGGACACAGTCTTCCACTACTATGTATTAATACACAAGATGAGGACTGTATCTAACACAGTCAATCATACAAATTAAGGGCTAGTTCAACACAAGGTAAGGATAGTTCATAACACAGTCAATTATGCAGGATAAGGACTGTCTCCAACACACTGAAATAAATAGAGATGAAGACTGTCTTCAACACAGGAACTACACAAGTTGAAGATCTTCAACACAGTCAGCTACACAGAGATGTGAACTTTTACAACACGAATCTTAAATGGTCTTATTAATAAAAAACACTTGAGAGCCAGGTATTGGGGTGAATTCTGAAAGATCAGAGAAGCAGAATAAGCCACAGCTAACCTCACCTCCATAACTTCTCAGCTGATTTTGTTTCCTCAAACTGGAAGCCTCTGGGCCCACATCAGAATGGATCTCAGCTGAACTGCTGCTAAAAGCTTAAAAGCTTAACAAGACGTTAGTCCCTGGTCCTCATGCCTTATATACCTTTCTGCTTCCTGCCATCACTTCCTGGGATTAAAGGCGTGTGTTACCATGCCTGGCTGTTTTCAGTGTGGCTCTGAACTCAACAGAGATGCAGATGGATCTCTGCCTCCGGAATGCTAGGATTAAAGGTGTGTGTGTGTGTGTGTGTGTGTGTGTGTGTGTGTGTGTGTGCGCGCGCACACGCGCGCCACCATTCTCTGGCCTCTATGTCTATCTAGTGGCTGTTCTGTTCTCTGACCCCAGATAAGTTTATGAGAGTGCACAATATATTGGGGGACACAATATCACCACAAACTGTGTTTACCATGTTGAAGTACACAATATGAGTGAGAGCTGTTTCCAACAATGCAATATATAGGGTAAGAAATGTCTCCAGTATAGTGAACTACATAATGATAAGATTTGTGTCCAAAATTGTTAACAACATAGGAAGAGAAACATCTCCAACACAATGAACTACACAGGGGGAAAGTACTTTCTCAAACATAAGGAACTAGAGAAGAGAAGATGACTTTCTCAACTCACACTCTCAGTGAAGTAGACCGATATGAACTGTCCCTACAACAGCCAACTACACAGCATGAGGACTGTGTATAACATAGCGAACTACTAAAGGTAATAATTATCTCTAACAAAGTGTGAGACAGAGATGAAGATTGTGTACAGCACAGTAAAGTACACTGGAGTAAGGGTTGTGTCCAAAACAATGGACTACATAAGCATGAGGACTGTCTCTAACACAGTGTACAATATAGGGTGAGATACAACATGGGGTGAGGACAGTCTCAGTGCAGTGAACTACACAGGGAAGGACTGCTTTCAATTCTGAGAACAATGATCCACCATGATATTGTCTCATTTTGGACACACCCCACTCTTACCATGGCCAGTTTTTCTCCAAGATATGCTGAGATACACATATGTTTCGCGGCACTAGCAGTATCACGAAGATCAGCCTTGTTTCCTACTAACATGATAGGAACAGGTCTGTGGGCTCCATCCTACCAGGAAGGAAAAGAAGTGGACATACATCAAACACTGAACCAATTATAGTGCTGTCACAATGGTACCAGTAGGTGCCATTGTCCATTTGTCTAAAGGTGCCAAATTTATTATCCATAATCATTTATAGATGTAGAACAGAATACATAGCTAGTTTGATTATCTATGTCTTACTGCTAATTGCAACAATCAAATTGCTTACATTAAAAATAATATTTTTAAAACTCAACATGCCTTGAAGTACAATTAACCTTCCTCCTCACTTGCAAATGAGAAGTCTGCAATTCAGAGAAATGAAGTAAGAACATGTAAAGCTGAAAGGAAGGTCCCAATGTGGCTGTATTGCCCCACTTAGGCAATGTTCCACTCTTGGATAGTAAAAAAGGTAAAGGGTATGAGACTAGTCGTATGCACAGTGCACAGTATACTACAATCACTATACAACCCAGTGGCATGACCACAGAACTCTGTTCAGTTGGAATGTCCACATAATGTAGGGTAACACCTTCTCCTTAAAACAGTATTCATTCTACAGCAACTGCTTTATCCCAGGTGCAAATTGTAAATCATCCTTCATTTATCCTAGTAGAAGACTGGGGTGCAAAGTTCACACTCACTACTCTAGTTTACAACAAAGAAAATAGTCATAAGTCATATATTCCAAAGCCATCCAATCAGTGTGTGCAGACTTCTACAGGATCTCAGAACCACTAGTGAGGCCAGGAGCCCATGTCTGGAGGTAAGGGTCTCATAGAGCATATTTCAACTTGTAAGGCTGTGATGTAAATAAAAAATGTGATATGCATGACAGAACAGAAACACACATTTCTGGTTCCTAGCTACAATAAGCAGCCATCCCACAACAAACACTTGGAAATTAAACTTTGCAGTGCTTAAATGACATGCTCAGTCGTTTTGTATGTTTCTCATACAGGGTCAAGACATAAAGACAAACATGAGATTATATTTGACATTCATCTTTGACTTAAGGCATAAAAGTGTATTTAATGTGAAGGAGAGTAAGGAGCACATAGCCCTCCTCCATAATTGTTGTTCCACACATTCAGATGTTCATCTTCTCTAGTGATCTCTTCAAGATTCATGGTGAAGACAAACAAATAGTCACACTACTAGCCAAGGAGCTGAGTATCTGTTGGGGCCCAGTGTTGAGGTCAAGTTGTGACCTATTAAAGGATCCCTTGAAGAGGGGAGTGAGGAATTGAAAGATGCTAGATAGGAAATATAGTAGTAGATGGAGAGAAAGATAGAGACACACAATAGCTTTGAGGGGCCCTGGGTCAATACCCAGCAGTCCTGAGTTTATTCATGATGGGCTTTTTATATACATCAGCAAGGGGAGGAGCAAAAGACCTCCCCCTCTCAAGGTCGAGGTAACACCTGGTAACCACACCTTTGGCCAAATATTCCTATTATGCAGACCTTCTGGGTAAAGGAAGCTCAGACTTTCTGATCTTGAGTAAGGCCTTACTAGGGAGCCTCTCTGGGCCCCCACACTGACTAAATAACTTCCTAAAGTCATATAAATAGAATGTAGCATCCTTTCAAGTACAGATGTAAACACTACTTTCTCTGTGAGGTCCCCTTGGTCCTGTTGCCTCATCACAGGCCTGGGCTCCACCTTTGCTATTCTTCTGCAATCCCTGCCACTTCCTGCACACCATTTACTCGCTGTACAATTCCTTTAGTTTGCTGTCTTATCCATGTCTGCAACTAGCAATGGTGACACTCTCTTTAAGCCAATTAATAGGGGCTGTGTCATTTCAGTCCCTCATCTTAGGAAGAGCCATGGGGAAGTCTCTTTCTGGCCATTCTTTTTCTATAGTGAAATTCAAATGCAATGTGATTCATCTTGAATACAATTTTCTTCCTTTTCTGGTGCCATGAGAAAGTGATATGGGTGGTTGAAAAGCTCATTTGTAATATGCATCTGCAGTGTCTCACTTAATGTAAGGATATTTCCTCATTGGCTGACCTTGCCTTTTGAATTACCATTTTCTGAGCATTTTCTTCAGCATACACAAAGCCTGAAAATGGAGACTAAGCCCCAAATATTAATGATAAGATGTTTGGCACAGGACTCAGTGCTCTAGACCACTGAGTTCTATTCCATAGAAGGCTCTCTTGCAGAGACAAGCTCCTTAGGTTTCCTTTAGTTTCAAGGCAACTGCTATTCATTTGTAACTCACTATTGTATCAAAGTACTGGCTAATGTTGAGTCAAGAGGTTATGACTCCATTCCATCCCTACATACTAGTATTATGAAAACAAGCAGTATCATATACTTTCTATGCCTCAGATTTCTCACAATATGTAAAAATTGCTTGTTTCTTATTTTTTCAGATGTTAGAGAAATAAATGTAATATATTGATAATTTTATCAAGTAAAATATTACATAAATGTGAATAATTTTAACTGCATTCATAGTGACTTTAAGATATGGTACTTTGATAAAACAAGACATATTTATGTTTCGCCATCAAAGAATTATTCCAATCACACAACATATTTTCCATAAATTCTGTACTCAGGAAGCAAACATTAATTCACAGGCACACTTGAGATCAGACAACACTAGTATTCAGCCTGTAACTTAATATGTTTAAAATACAGCTGGTATTACTTACTTGAGAAGTATTATTTACCAGTAGTTTGTACTTTCTGGAGAGTACCCTGTTGTTAGTAACAACTGGCAGTAAACAGTACTTTTACAAATTCTGACCGTGAAACCAAATGATATGAAAGGTCCTAAAGTGGAGACACAGTCATCTTGACATAAAAGGCACCCATCCCACATGTTAAAAATGCCAATTCATATTTCCAAGACATCTTGTGATTTCTAAATATTTCCACATGACAACTAGAATAATCTTAACTTTGGATCTTAGCCCTGTTAACATCCCAGTAGTGTCTCAGCTGTTTCTAAAATTCCTGACACACTGTATATGCAACCCCACTACTTCCATGTTTGTAAAAGTTGCTTTTCTGGGTGTCCATGTTTCCACTTCATTACACAGGATTCCTATGTTTTATCTAGCAAAGAATCCAAAAATTGTTTCCAGAAGCTACTTGCAGAAGTGTCTTCAACTTGAGAATCCATCTTGGAAAGGTTGCCAATTGACACTGGAAATTGTCAGTCTTCCTGAGAGCACAGATCAGTGGCTCCTAATCACGTTCACACCAGCAACAACAAACAAACAAACCAAAAAGCAATGGCATTTCTTAAGACAGTCCACGACTCCTTTGCATCTTCTGTTTCTTCATTATAATCCTTACCTCAACCATATCCACCCATTCTCGTACATTCAGAAAGCTTTTTTCACAAGTAACATCATACAGCAGTAGGACTCCATCTGCTTTTCTGAAGTAAGACTTGGCAATACTTCTGAATCTGGAAAAGACAAAGCAAAAGCTCAGCATCAACCTGTCATCTGGTCCTTGCCTTGCACTTCATCTCCCATATGCCCTTTAGCTTTTATTTTCTATAACCAATTCCAACAAAGAAAAGCCTTAATAGCAAAGACTGCCGATAAACTTCTTTCAGAAAGGTCTAGTGATCATTGAGAAAGCCCATCCTTTTCACCATCTGAAAATTCCAAGAATGTCTCCTAACCATAAACTTTAACCCCAACAATGGTGAAAGCATAATGAAAAAATGTTCATCCCCAGAAACCAGCAAACAGACATGGGAAACCAAATACTTGTCTCAAAAACCAGGCAGTGAGTGACTGAAAAAAAAATCTGATATTGAGCTATGTCCTTTGCATGTACCTGTGGACCTTCCCATATACATATGTGCAAAGACACAATTATGCAAAATGGTTGAATGCCCAGTCTGCTGGAGAATTGTGTTCTGAAAGGCAGGAGGAGGTTTTTGTGTTTGCTTTGTGTTTTAAATGAAAGGAGGTAATATATTAAAGAGTAGGAACAGAGGAACCTAGATGTATGCTGGTTTTTGCCTATGGCCTAATCTCTAAGAGGCCCAAAATGGGGAAAACAGTGAGGTAATATTTGCAGTGACCAAGGGCAAATTGTGTCTCCATGATCATCACTGAATCTTAGTGCAATGAACAGTACAGACCCAGGCTTTCAAACATACTCATTGCACAACTGAGAAAATTTTGACCCACAGTGAGTTAGATAAAATTAAAATTTATGCTTCATACTTCTGGTCATTGGCAAGAAATCTAAGATATGGCATGACCAGAAGTTTATCTGCCACTTATCTTGTGTAACAATTGCTCTTCAATTAAGTATATTGGGTAGGGTCTGCTTGACCATCACGTAGTGCTTCAAAACTAAGTACCCCTCACAGTGACACTGTATTCAGAAATATTGCCTCCTCTCCAAGGCAAAGCATGCAGCCACAACCAAACATCAGCTCAAAAGAAGATCAAAGACTCTCTTCTCTTACAAATGATACAAATATATGGGAGGAGATGTTGGAAAGATAAGCTTTATTGGTATTACATATACCTTACAATTACAAATACGAATCTTCAAGCACAGTAATATATTTTGAATATAAATAGTATAGTCAACCCTATGAGGCTTTTATTTGTATTCTTTCCTTCAAAACACTATGAAAAGCACTTGCCTCTCTTGCCCAGCTGTATCCCAGAGCTGAAGAACTGTTCGTTCACCATCTACAATCAGAGTTTTCATCTGGAAATCAACTCCTGAAATAGAAATAGCACAGATAATTCTGTAAGTTTTGTCTAAAGCCAAAGCCAAAGTAGAAAGAAATGCACTTGGCCTTCAAAGAACAAGCTTCTAATAAGTCAATTTACATATGTAGATATGGATGTACTATCTGCATTCTCACTGACCTAAGGTACAACTGACTCTATGGAATAGAGCAATCTCAGTTCTTTTTTCCTAGATGTCTGAACTCAATCCTATATGTGTACATGCAAAACTATTAAAATGTATGTTATGTGCATGTTATTTATACAAGCATATGTATGCATATAACATTATATGTATATGTACATGGATGCTCACATATGACTATTGTACTCACATATACATGTATATTTTTGTGTGTGTGAATATGTGTGTGATAAACACACACACAAACATACAAACTCATATACACATGTATGTCATGGTCTCTAGCAACCAAAACAATACTTTAGTTATTTTATAAATTAAATTGAAGTGAAATTTCACTTTTGTTTTCTTAAAGTGTTTATCAGAGAACTATAAATTTACAGATATGTCCAATGTGGTGTAGGCAATCAATTTGGTTTATCATTTCTGATTGTCTAAATAACTCCTTAGATGAAGAAAAGTAAATGATAATTAGTATACTTCAGACACCTTCTAGTGTTTATTATGTAAATTTGGAAAAAGTGACACTAAAATTTTCATTTTGTTGTTGTTTGTGTAGTTTTGTTATCAGGGTAATAGTGGTAAGAAGAATTAGGAAATGCTCCCTCAGTTTCTATTTTGTGGAATAATTTAAGGAGTATTGGCGTTAGTTCTTTGAAGATCTGGTAGAATTCTTTACCGAATTAACTTGACTCTGGACTGTTTGTGGTTGGGAGATTGTAATTACTGTTACTATTTCACTAGGGGTTCTAGGAGTCTTTAAATTGTTTACTTCATCTTGATTTAACTTTGGTAGATTGTATATATGAAATTATTCATCCATTTCTTTTAGGTTTTTCAGTTTGGTGGAATAAAGTTTTTTTTAATTTTATGATATTTACATATTATTTCATTTGTGTGTGAGTGCCTATAGATGTCAAGAAGGAGTGTAGGATACCCTGGCGCTGAAGTTAACAGGGAAGTATGAACTGTCTGATATGGGTGCTAGGAACAGAACTTGGGCCCTCTGCAAGAGCAGTACATGCTTCTCAATGTTTCAGAAGACATCCAGATGTCTTCCTAGCCCTGGAATTCAGATTTTTAAATTTATTATTCTCTAAGTTATCTTGGTGTCTACTGTAATCTCTTGCTTTCCCCTCTTTTTAAAATTTGGATCATCTCTCTTTTCATCTTTGGCTAATTTGGCTACAGATTTGTCAATCTTGTTGATTTTCTCAAAGAACCAACTCTTCATTCACTGAATTTGTATTTTTGATACTGTTGTTTCTATTTCACTGATTTCAGCCCTCAATTCGATTATTTCTTCTCTTCTATTTTGGATATTTTCTATTTTTTTCTATAGCTTTCAGGTATGTTGTTAAGTTATTATTATGAGATCTCTCCTAGTATATGATGTAGGCACTTAGTGCTATGAACTTGCCTCCTAGAACTGCCTTGACTGTGTCCCAGAGATTTAGGTATGTTGTGTTTTTATTTTCATTCTATTCTAAAAGGTGTTTCTTTCTTGATTCATGCCTTCATCCAATTTTCATTGAGTGCTGACTTGTTCAGTTTCCATCAGTTTGTATACTTCCTGTTTTGCTGTTGCTGTTGTGGTCAGTATCCTTAAGCCATGACAGTCAGAGAAGATGCAAGATGTTATTTCAACTTTCTGATATCTGTTGAGAATTGCTTTGTGTCCTACCCCCACTCTGATATATTATAATGTTCAGGGATCATTTATTCATTTTGGCCTCTTGGGTGTAGTGAATCTTTTCAGACTGAAATACTCCAATATCTATTATGAATCTAAATGCAAAATTTCTCAAGAAAAGACTTGCAAACTGAATTCAAGAATACATCAAAGAGATTAGCTATCCATCATGATCGGGCTGGCTTCATCCCAAAGATTCAAGATAGTTAACAATATATAAATCAAAGAACATAATCTACTACATGATCATCTCATTTGATGCAGAAAAAGACTTTGAAATAATACACCTACCTGTGATAAAAGTCTTGGGGACATTAGGAATACAAGGTACATTTCTCAATATAATAAAAGAAATTTGCATCAAATATACATCCTCAACAGTGAAAAACACAAAGCATTTCCACTAAAATCAGAAACAAGACAAGGATGTCTATTCTCTTTATATACATTTAGTATAGGACTTGAAATCTTACCTAGAGCAATAAGACAAATTAAGGACATCAAGGGCATTCAAATAAGAAAAGAAGTCATAAGTATCTTTATTTGCAGCTGTTATGATAGTGTAGGTAAGTTACCCTAAAAATTCCACCAGGAAACTAATACAGCTAAGGAGCAAAGACGCAAGACACAAAATACATACACACACACACACACACACACACACACACACACACACACACACACACTGCCCAATATCTTACATCCAAATGAAAAACAGACTGAGAAAGAAATCAAGGAAACAGTACCTTTCACCACAGCCTCAAAAAAAAATCTTTGGATAACTTTAAGTAAGCAAGCACTTGTACAATAAAATCTTTAAGGCATTGAAGAAATAAATTGAAGAAGATATTAGAAAATGCAAATACCTCTGACATTCTTGTATGGGTGGGAGTATTGTAACAAAGGCCATTCTACCAAAAGCAATCTACAGATTAAATGCAATGCCTACCAATATTCCAACACAATTCTTCACAGAAATTGAAAATGAAAATATAGTCTTCAACTTCATATACAAACACAAAAACATAAGATCTCTAAAATAATTATGAATAATAAAAGAACTGCTGGAAGTAACACTATCTCCAATCTCAAATCATGCTGGAGCTACAGTATTAAAAAACATGTCTAAACAGAGGAAAAAAATGAACAACAACAAAGAAAAACAGGATGTTATTAGCATAAAAATAAATACATTGATGAATGAAATTGAACTGAATAAGTCCACACACCTATGGAAATCTGATGTTTGATAAAGAAACCAAAAATACATACTGGGGGAAAGACAGCATCTTCAACAAATGGTGCTGGTCAACCTGGATAGCTACATGTAGAAGATTGCAAATAGATCCATACTATTACCCTGTACAAAATTCACTCCAAATGGATTAAGAAGCTTAGCATAAAACCAGATACCCCACATTGATAGAAGAGTAGATGGGGAGTAAGCATGACTTCAGTGGCACAGGAAAGGATTTCGGAACATGGTATCAACAACACAGTCCTTTAGACCAACAATTAACAATAAGACCTCATGAAAAGCTTCTGTACTGTAAGAACACTGCCATTTTTGCCCACATAATGAGAAAAAATCCTTACCAATTATATATCTGATAGGAGATTAATATCTAGACTATATAAAGAATTAAAAATAACTGAATATCAAGAAAACAACTCAATTAAAATATGGGATACAGAATGAAGCAGAAAGTTCTCAAAAGATGAAATGCAAATGGCTGAGAATTATTTAAGGACATGTTCAATATCCTAGGCCATCAGAAAACAGTAAATGAGAACTACTTTGAGATTTCTCTTATCCAGTCAGAATGGTTAAGACCAATAAAACAAATGTTAGCTGATATTGATAAGGATACAGGGAAAGGGGAATACTTATTCATTGTTGTTTGGAGTGCAAACTTGTACAGCCATTATTATGGAAATCAATGTAGTGGTTGTTCAGGAAGCTGGGAACAGATCTTCCTCAAGACAGAGCTATACCATTATTAGGCATATAACCAAAGAACTCTATATCCTACTACAGAGATACTTGCTCATACATGTTCTTTGCTGTTCTATTCATAAGAAGCAGAATTTGGAAACAGGCCAAATGTCTTTCAACTGAGGGATAGGTAATTAAAATCACATACATTTACATAATGGAATATTATTTAGCTATTATGAAAATTGAACTTATTAAATTCATAGGCAAACAGTTGGCTCTAGAAATATATAATCCTGAGTGAGATAACCCAGGCCCTCAAAAACAAATATTCCATGTTTTCCCTTCTATGTGATTGTTTGCTTTTACACTTTCAATATGCTAAAGTAACATAACAATAAAATGACTCCTGAGGACGTAGTGCTATACCTACATATAAGTGTCTTGCTTACCCTACACCAGAGAAGCTTCTTGTTACAGTAAATGGGAATTAACACAAAGACCCACAACTGGACAAGACACAGAGAGTGAGAGATTTTGGAGCACTCAGTCCTAAAAGAGATCCAGGCTCATTAATCTATGTGGAAGGGGAGGCAAAAAAAGATTTTAGGAGCCATATTGGATGGATGACTCCAAGAAAATAGTGTCTTCCAGAGACAAAAGGGCTGATGAACATATGAACTGACAGAGATTACATTAGCAGGCATGGGATCTACATAGTTTCAAGCCAGATGGGGTCGCAGCAGTGAGAGAACTAGACAAGGGTTCCTACTCTTAACAATGAAGATACTTGTGATCAATATCTATTGGTGAAGGGAAAATCAGTTTTCTACAATTGAGTGTTACTGCATATATGACCCACACTCCAGGGAAGGCCTCTGCCCAGGAGTAGTAACTCAACACAATAGAACTCCATGGCTTTTACACACACACACACACACACACACACACACACACACAGAGAGAGAGAGAGGGGGGGGGAGGAGGGAGGGAGGGAAGTAGGGAGAAGATGAAATTGGGTGGGTAGGGCAATAGAAGTATCTGGAAGTAGTTAAGGGAGGGGAAGATATGATTTAAAAAAATTTAACCAAAAAATATATTTGTTGGTTTGAAAAAAAAAGTCCCCAAGGGGAGTGGCACTATTAGGAGGTTTGGCCTTGGTGGAGGAAGTATGTCATTGTTGGGGCAAACTTTAAGGTCTCTTTTGATCAAGCTTCCCTCAGTGTTACAGTCAATTGACTTCCTGTTGCCTGCCAGCCAAGAAGTAGCCAGCATGACATCTGCATACCACCATGCTCTACACCATGATGATAATGGACTGAACCTCTAGTTCCCTCAATTAAATATTTTCCTCATAAGAGTTGTTGTGATTATGGTGTCTCTTCACAGCAATAAAAACCTTAACTAATACAATAAGATTAAAAAGACTAAGAAAGGCCAAAAGAAAGAAAGGAAAGAAAAAGAAAAATTATTGCTACATAAACTCATTTTCTTCTGGACATATGGAAAGGAACACAACAAATTTGAATTTGACTTAATCTCAAATTTTCCATGGTTATTGAGTTCTTAACATAAAATTAAGGGTCAGAAGGCTCGCTGTCCCTAGCCAACAATGGAAATACACACTTCTTTCCACATATCATTTTTAAAATTCATTTTGGTCCACTTATTTCCACTGGGGTGAAAGTTCCTTGAAAGTTGAGCTTCACTTAGCTTTCTTCACTGTGCACCTCAGCACTTTAGCAGTGCCAGGTGCTCCACAAAAGGCTTGAAAAATAAGTGTGGAATTAAAGAATAAACTATGTCTTAGTAGGATTTGTTTGATCCCACTGTCTACAAAGATTCCCACTGTCAGTCAATTTCTTTATTAGATTTTGGTGAAAATAAAGGATTGTTCTACCATGATGGCACACACATAAACACACACAGTGTCTGTATACCTGAATGAATATGTAGGTTTTTTAATCTGTGTATCTGTGCATATAATTCTGAAAGAAAAGAAATCAAGCTAGAGATGGTAATTTTGCTATCACTGGAGGTAAGAGCCATACCTAGGGTTGCACTTGTGTTCCCTTGAAATTCATTCTTGCAGAGTCTCATGAGGAAGCTGGACTTCCCCACGGCAGCATCTCCGGCAAGCACAATCTTGTAAGCCTTCTGAGATATGGGTTTGGAGTTATTGTCCACCATGTCTGTCTAGAAGGAAACAGCCACACAGGTGATGATGGGAGCCGTTTTTCATGTTAAGTAACATGCCATGAAGAAAAGAGTCTCAGATGATACCTACTTGAAGTGAAAGAGCTGAGATGGGTTTTCTGGAGGAACTACCAGTGCTGCCTTCACCAACAGAACCCCGTGGCTTCCAGTGTAAGACAGAGGCCACACTTTCAGAATCAAATGCTTCTTCATCTCTTATATCAGGAACCTATCAAAAAAAATAACAATTAAAAATCAAGTCTCTCACACATGCATCACACACCAAAGAAAAATAAAACTATGCTACTGAGTCTACTATCAGTGTGATTATTGAACAAACCTCCTCTTAAGGCAAATCTTTGAGAATTCCTCCCTAGGTTGGTAGGGAAAAATCCATTATAATGACCTTAACAGAACAGGTTATGTGCTGTTAAGACAGATTCCCATAAAACATGGTCAAGATTTTAGTCAAAGGAAAGCATCAGAGTGCCATGGTTTCTAACTTACATCTGTGTCTGATGCATCTCCCCCAAGGCCCTCCTGTGTTCCATGTAAACTCTGAAATCCTCTCTGATGCTTGTAGTCCATCTCAGAGTCACACTCATTGGAGTCTCTCAGAGTAGACAAGCCACTGTCAAAACAACTCTCAGGCAAGCTGTCAACTTCATAATTCATCTTCTGCAGAGGATCACAGAGAGCCAAAGAGTCACAATCCTCATCTGCATATGAAGAATGGAATGACCTTGTGATAAAAGAGGAGACAACTTTACCAAGGAGTTCACAATGTACAAGAGCACAAAGGGACAGGCTGACAACATTGTCACTTGCCAGGAGATACATGATGTTCCTTTGGCATAGGAGAGGAAGTGTAAAGTGCAATCAGTTCATTTTGTGCAATAATCTGTGATGACAAAAGTCCTCAAATGTGAAACCTTATACATATAATTCTTTTAAATTGGCTGATCTATTTCCTGATACAAAAAATGAGTACCCTAGATACAAATACAATCTTACACTAATAAAATATCCCTAGAACACAAGATCTTTTTTACTATTGTACAGTTTGACCATATTTGGAATAGTTTGTCTATTTCTAGATTGTAACTCTTTTCTATTTGTTATTCCATTTGTTTGTTTGTTTGTTTTCAAGACAGGGTGTTAGGAAATTTTTCCCTTGGGAAAGAGGAGAGGCAATTAGGCAAAGACTACCCTCATCCAAAGCCCTAATGACAAAACTAAGTTCAATTTTACCAAAGTTTGCCCTGGAAAACCAATGAGTTTATTGTGTATACATACAGAGCATGGGTGAGGGTTTACTGACCAGAATGTGAATGGGCCCAAAACAGCTGCACAGGAAAGTCTCACCCAGTGTGGAGGATGGCTTCCCCACAGTTGCACAAATAGAGCTCCCTCTCTTAGTCTTCCCAATACATATGTACTCCAGCCTCTCCCCAAGACTCAAGGCCGTGTGCAATTAGGGTAAAACACGTATAACTGGTTACAGGACAATGACAGCAAAGGTGAAGGTCCAATGACCCTCTCTATCCCCTCCTTCTATGAGGAAAAGTCAACAGTCAATAGCCCAAGCCTCAAGATTTTTTTGCAAGCAATCAGAGTTTTTATATTACCATATAAAAGAAAAGCACCCTGTTAACTTCATATATCATTAACCATCAGGAAGGAAGATCTATATAGGCCACAGTGGTTTCTAGTTGTGTTCAGAATGAGGAGCAGACAAAGCTGTCTTTGCCTCACTGTGGTCCTGATGATGTGATGAAGGCACTGTCTCTTAAAATATACTATAGAGGAACTCTTATTCCAGTACCAGAGCCTCATCTGTGGCATCGTTCTTTCAAGAATAAATCATGAGATTTCTGAAGTAATTTTGTTTTTTATGCTTTCCTCTACATCTTGCTGAGAACTGCTCTTAACTATTATAGTCCAGAAAAGTAGCATCAAATCTGCATATTTTAAAAATATGTATTTTAGTAATAGCATATTTCAACTACTTACAAATAAGTAAGCCACATTTTATAAAATTAATAAATCAACAAACAAAAACCGGGACCATGTTTTTACACAGGCAGTCTGTAGTGAGGGACTTTCCAATGGAAGCAAGAGCATCAGCTTTCACCAGGTGTGGTGGAGCACTATTGTTGTGTAGTGAGGGACTGTCCCGGTGGCAGCATCACACCAAGTTTGGTGGAGCACTATTGATCATGATCAACTTGAAATCTGAGCAGCTATTGCATAACTTTCCCAATATTGAACCTGATGACAATCCCCAAAAAGGAGAGAATGAAGAGCATCATCAGGAGGGGGATCAGATCATCATCCATGCTTGAATGGGACTCTCCAGTGACACTGTTGTTTGGGGTCCCTCCTGTTCCTGTAAGTAAGCCCTATAAATTTACTGGTTTATCAAACTGGACTAGTATGGAACTGTAGCCTTTCCTTGATGTCCACATATCCCCAAGAAAAACTCAGGCAATATCTGGATACTAAGAACATACTTATTTATACTGAAAGTACTCCCCCTACATACAAAAGGGGACAAACCTGAGTTAGAAAGCTTCAAACACACAGGAAACTTTAATGTATCCTTTTTCCTTTTTTTGAACACTTTGACATAACACAAACTTAACTTTTAGCTACCAATGTTGGACATGAACATCCATGCGCGCGCGCACGCGCGCGCGCACACACACACAAACACACACACACACACACACGCACAAATAATCACTGTTTATTATTTGATCTCTTAAGAGTCAAGTTAAATTCTAATTATTGCAACTTCAATTCTAATTTTTGATATATCTTGGTGGATGTTTTGATATTTAGTAACTGATAAACCTAGTCACATTTTCTACTTTTTTTTAATATTAAACACTGACAGATCGTGACAAAAGGCTCAAAACAATCACCATCCATAATGTAACAAACTAGGACATGATTAAGGATGAGAATGGTGAATATACACACAATAAATCAAAGCACATTGAGAAAATAACTGCCCTCTATGAAATATGTTTACTGTTTCTTCTTTTTTGAACTTATGAACATTGTTAGATCATAATAAATATAAATTATTACTTAAATATATTTCCTTATTTTAATTCAGCTCGAAGATAATTTGTCTTTCAACCTCAAAGTACAACTCAGATAATAACAGAAGCAGGTGCTACATACCTGTCATAGGCCAATGGTTGAGAAGAATGGTGATTAAATTTAGGACTGCTTCTAGAAATTGTATTTCCCGGTGATATGTTATTTATACGCTGTAATACACAAATACTTGTTTAGTATGCAGACATTTTCTCTACCACAGATATATGTGTTTATGCAAACCCATGCAATTTAACTCCCAAAATAACTCCAAATAAAAAGTCTATGACTCCCACATGAGCAAATATAAACATGAAAACATCATTTGGAAAGTTTCAGCAAAGATAACAGACATAGTTTCTCTTCCTGATCAGTCTTTTCTCTTACACAGCTCTAATGCACATTCCACAAGAGTCTGCTAGCTCCTCAGATTTGCCAGGACCCCACAACATCTTATTTGTCTCTTCTGGAAGCATAATTTTGTTGAGTAACTATTCTGCATCCTAATATGGTCCTAGACTCTCCTGCCTAAAGCTGCGTCACAAAAATGCCATAAGAGGCTTCATTGCAAATGCAATCTGAGGAAACTTGTTTCCTACCAGAGGGTTTAAAATCCAAAACCCAAGGCCTTCATTCTTGCAAGAATCTGCTATAGGGAAGATAAACTAGCTGCCTCTTCTTTCCTGGAAACATTTTTTTTTATTTTTATGATCACAAGATTTCCCATTGTTTCTTCTATTTTGCTTTCCTTCTAACTAGCTCTAATATTATTAAACCCTCCAAGGCTAAAATCACATGTTCAGCAACTTTCTCTAGTCTCTTAGAATATATAATTTAAGAGTTTGGTTAACATCATTGCATTTATTTCTACAAATGGGCAAAACATTTTTAATTTAAAAATTTTTACTTTATGTTAAGAGTGTCTCATCATAAGATCAATGTAAAGTTATTCTAAAATATCACATGGTTTTCCTATGCCAAAACATATGATCATGAGAAAGAACAGACTATCTTGTAAGATGACATCGCATACCAAGGATCTGTTGAGCTTGCTGTAAGTGTTTTCCAGTGCACTCCTGAGGCCATCATTACTGTCATGCAGCTTCCGGTTAGCTGTTCTGTATAGGAAAGAAGTTGACAAACAGACAAGGGAAGTACTAGGGGATCAATGCTCCCACTCTCTTTTCAGGCAGTGACATTCACAATGTACAGATATGTCACACATTTTGTAAACTTCTATTTCCCTTTGAATCCCAGAAACAGATACAAAATGCAATAACTAAATTGATTAGCTCTCTTTCCTGAAGGCCTGGGAGAATTTTAAGAATAAATTTGCTTAGATAATTCCTGTGCCAATAGGCTTAATGCAAGTCGCTGTTCTCCCAGTTCACACAACTCAGCCCCAAGCACTGATGCAACATGCTATAGCATGCTGGCTATTCCTGCATCTCCTTCTCTTTACACCCTGATAGTATTTCAGTATCAAGCATACACTTAGTTACTGATCTCAGACTGACTGGGGTATAAATACAAACTTAAGTAATTACTTCATGGGATATCATGAAAGTCATTTAATATCTGCTTTTCTTGGCTAAAAAAAAAATGAGGATCACAGAGTCCCTGTCTCATAGACTATCTAATTTTCCTGTTTATAGCCACTTCATCCTTCATATCAAGCCTGTTATCACTCCCACCACGAGCACTTTATTGACCTTCCATAGCTCTCCATGGGGAGAATGCACTTTTCCTCTGTCATACCTCTCATTTGGTGATATCTGTCACATTTGTTTCTATGAGTAACCAGCTTCTGTCTTCCTCTTTACTAGATGCATAAGCAGAGAGGTTTTTTTCTCTGCTTCTCACTATTCTGTCCTCAGTTCCAGGGGTTCCTCACTCATGAAAGCTGTTAACTTTCATACAGAGAAATATACTGTATGAGTTAACAAGTGAATGAATTAATAAGACTATATAAAAAGTGACTTCTGCACTTTACACCATAGAAAGTTAATGAACATTAAAAACTAGAAACATTTGCCCAGGCCATTTAGTAAACTGAAAACCAAAGAATATACTGTGTAAGTGAAACAAATGAGGGAATATCAAGATTTCCTGAGAAAGGTCCTCAGAAGATGGAATTACTACAACTTAGTTGTAAAGTTGATAGGATAGAATTTCTTAGGAAATCTTTTTTCAGGAAACAAAGAAAAGAAAACTAAAAAAAAAAAAAGTATATCTGCAGTCAGCATAACAAAGTGAGAAAGAATGACTAAATACTATCTGATGGTCCCATTCACATGAGGATGTGGGGAGCTCTCCAGATATGCAGTAGAGAGCAAAGAAGGTGAAGACTGAATTCCTTACGGAGGCATAATACAGATAGATGTTTGACATATACTTTTCTGACATAGAGGGACCTTGAGAACTAGACTGCATTGGAGTAATTTAGTTAGAGGCAGATGAGTCAGGAAGTGAAGTGGACATGCCAAATGTACTGCAGTGAGAACAAACAGTGACCTGAACCATGGACATGGCAGACTGTTAATAAAACATGTGCCACGTGTAACACAAACATTAGCTAAAATGCAATGAGCATTTCATATGAGAACTTACTGGAGGATTTCAATTTGCCTCTCAAGACTACTGCGATCTTCTGTGTACTCTCGGATGATTTCCAGATCCCTGCAAAATTGTATGTAGGGTTTCAGTGAGGAGAGATGAGACAGCAGGTATGAGCATGAGGCACAGCAAATCCCAGCACTAGCTTCCAATCCATACAAGCTACCACGCTTCATCTGTAAAAACCTGTCCTTTGATGCTAAGGTAAAACTCAATTGCATATAGAAATCTAAGTTCCTAAGTCAAAAATTCTGGGCCCTTTCAGAATGTCTGTAAACTTACCAGCTTTTAGTATGTTTTTAAATGTGTTTCCAATCAAACCATTTTTTGTCCAACATTCTGATCATTTCTTCCCAAGCCAGTCTTTCTTCTCTATTACATTGTTTCTCTGACTTTCCTCTTACCTATAACAACTGTAAGACTTTTTTTTTCTATCTGTGATGTGGAGATAATAAAGGTTCCTACAAGATAGGATAGTCTGTGGATGAAGGCATAAACACTAATAATGTGCTAAGGATGTTCTTGGTTGATGGCAATGTTAGTTGCGTCAGTAAATATTACTGCCACTGGGTCCTCTTGTCCTTGGTCCAACATAAGCTAACCTTTGCTCCAGTATTCACCTCCTGTGTTTCCTTAAAACAGGCTGAAACAAAGCAGTTTCCCAGCATGCTGTTGCTAATGGTATTACTGCTGGCCCTCAGTGCATGCTGCTTAACTTTTTGTCTTGGCTTTCCCAACTGAACTTGAAAGTTTTAAAGGGCAGCAGTATATGTTGCTTTTATTTTATATGTGCTGAACTCACAATCCAGAAAGAACATATCCAGTAAAAGTTGTACAGTTTAATACTACAAAGCCTTAATTCTGATTGAAGTTTGAAAATAAATAAAACCATTTCCCCTAAATGCCCAAATTTACTCTCTGTATATGTATACATCTGTATCTCTCACACAGAATGCCTGACTCTGATTATGAGAGGTTCTAAGTTATTAACACCAAACCTCTAACCAAATGTCCTGAATAATTAATAACTCTCATCCTTATGATTTACATCAGCTTTCCTATTTGAAAAGCACTTTTAACAGAAGATTGTATTTACACAGTATTTTCTTCCCAGTCCCCCTAAACCAAACATTTTTTAAGTCCTGCACTATCCTAAGAGGCAAATAATCAAATAGTTACTCTTTTAAAAAGATTAAGCATGCATACACACACATACACACACACACACACACACACACACACACACACACACACACACACACGGAAATTTGTCATTAAATGTACCATAATTAGAAATATATATAGATATATATAATTTTTCCCAAAGTTAATGAATGACTATCTATTATGAATAGTTTCCTACCGTTCAGAATTCAGACTCTGGTCGGCAAAATCACTTTTCAAAGCATCTAGTTCACTCTGAAGGAAGGCTACATTTGTCTGGGCTTCCAAAAGGTCTTTCTTGAGTTTTTGATTTTCCTAAAGAAAATGAACCACGAGGGACATTAGACTCAGGGTTTCTTGCTTCTAGAAAAATGAAGCAGTACGTAGTATAACCCCATACAAATAAAGGTCCTGCCTTTCTTCAATTTTTCACATCTTCCTGTTAAAAGAACCACGTATATACTCAGATATTGTACATTATAAAAGTTTAAAATGGTTTTTCATTTTGTACCTGACATCTGTCCCAAATTATAATAAACAAGGTCTGGTAATAATGCCCTCATATTATTAGAAAATTAATCAAGATGAAATATATAAACACCTTCCCAAAATTAGTTACACTGGTTGCTTTTAATAACAAATACTATCATTAATTTGTTTAAAAATGTAATTATTAATAGACAGGTATAGTTATTAAATTTTACATTTTTCTTTAAAAGAGAAATCATTGGACACTTGTGGTTCAAATAGTTGACTGTGCACAGAGATGGTCTATTTCCCCTTCCCAGAAAACCTCATGAACATGAAATTACATTGGAAAAAAACCATTTTTTTGGAAGAGGGGATCATGAATAGCCAAATGACTTAAAACATTTCTAGAAATGGGAGACTAGATGATGGGTGCCACCCCAAAGAAGAATTGGGAAAGATGATGGGTAATGTGCAAATATAATAATGGGATTAGACTAGGCCCTCTGCATAAGGGAGACAGTTGTATAGCTTGATCTGTTTAAGGGGCCCCCTGGCAGTGGCATCAGGATCCATCGCTGGTGCATGACCTGGCCTTTTTGAACCCACTACCTATGGTGGGACACCTTGCACAACCTTGATGCAGGGGGAGGGGCTTGTACCTGCCTCAGTTGAATGCACCAGGCTCTGTGGACTCCCATTGGGAGACCTTTCCTTGTTGCAGGAGGGTATGGGGGGTGGGTTGGGGGGGAGGTGGGAGGGGCAGGAGAAGGGAGGAGAAGGGGATCTGTGATTGGTATGTAAAATGAATTTAAAAATGCCTTAATTAAAAAAAAAGAGTGTACCCCCCCACCACAAAGCTTTTCCCCAAGTTTCCAGGTGTAGAAGTGGCACAGAACCTTTTAAGAAGAAAAGCCAAGTAGGTGTTCCTTAGGTCAGTTGAGGTGCTGTCCATGGAAGTGATTTTGGGAGGTCAGTTGCTGCTCCCTGTTTACCCTTCTGGATCCATACTCCAGCTGTCTACTAAGAGGTCCACAGTGAAGCTAAGCTGACACTGTCCCATGCTCTTGAATCCCTACAACTCTGAAATAAATAAAACCTTTTCCTTATAAAGGAAGCCTGCCTCCAGTATTTAATCATGGTAATAAAATGCACCAAAGCAACATTTTAAAAACAAATGCTTAGGAGGTCCTGCAGAAGAAAACAAAAGAGGCCAAGTGGCCATATCAAGGTAGAATGGAAAGTGGAGCTAGGGGGCTAGCGAGGTGGCTCGGGAGTAAAGGATACTTGTTGCTCTTCCAGAGGATCTGCGTTCTATTCGCAGAACCCACATGGTGACTCCCAATCATCAGTAACTCCAGTTCCAGGGGATCCAATGCCCTCTCTTGGCCTTTATGAGCACCAGGAACACATATGGTGCAGAGACATACATCCAGGAAAAATATCCATATACAGAAAGTAAACATAAATAAATACTTTAAAAGGAGAGGGCAGGGAAAATAAATTAAAATGAACTGTGCATGGTAGCACTTGTCTTTAATTCCAACACTGAGGAGGTGGAGACAGGTGGATCTCTGTGAGTTTGAGGCCAATCTGATCTACATAGTATTTCTACTCACTTAGTCATTTAGACAAACTTTCAAGAAAATGTGTGTGTGTGTGTGTGTGTGTGTGTGTGTGTGTGTGTGTGTGTGTGTCTGTGTCTGTGTCTGTGTCTGTCTGTCTCTCTGTCTGTCTGTCTCCAATAACATATCAAAGGTATAGTGACCAGCACTGGTCTATCATAGTTTAGTAACAAATGCCACATACAAAAATAAAGAATGATGTTAAGAATTTAAATTTTTTAAACTTTAACAATATACAATATTTGAATCAATAATTGGTTCTTTGAACAAGAATATTTGAAGAACAGGGAAAGTTAAGAGTGTGAGAGTTATGTACTGCTTCATTTTTTCCAGAAATAAGAAACACTGAGTGTAATTCATTTAAGGAAGTATTATGTTATAATGAAGTAAAAAAATTCAGGACCACAGCCTAGGAATAAGCTCACCCACAATGGACTCTGCCTTCCCATATCAATCACCAATTAAGAAAATGTCTGACAGGCTTGCCTATAGGCATAGATGATAGATAGGTAGGTAGGTAGATAGATAGATAGATAGATAGATAGATAGATAGATAGATAGATAGATAGATAGATATACAGTACATTTTATATATATATATATCAAGATGAAAACAATCCAATCAAAAGTGTCATTTCATGACCTCCAAAATCAATATTTTCAAGGGAAAATAAAGAACTTTACAGTAATGGTGACATAACAAAGATGGTTGAGTATATTTGTACCACCTAGTTCTACAAGAACTTGACACAAGTTGCAGTTATTGGATCTGGCTATAGGCAAGCGTGGCAGACATTTTCTTAATTGGTGATTGATGTGGGAGAGCACAGCCCATTGTGGGTGGGCTTACTCCTGGCCTGTAGTTCTGGGCTCTATTAAATAAAAAGAAAGAAAGAAAGAAAGAAAGAAAGAAAGAAAGAAAGAGAGAAAGAAAGAAAGAAAGAAAGAAAGAAAGAAAGAAAGAAAGAAAGAAAGAAAGAAAGAAAGAAAGAAAGAAAGCAGGCTGAGGAACACAGAGGAAGCAAACTAATTAGCAGCACTCCCCCATGCCCTCTGCATCAGATCCTGACTCCACATTCCTACCCTACTTGATTTCTTGCCCTCACTGCTTTTGATAAACTGTTATACAAAACAATTGTGTGAAATAAACTCTTCCCAAGTCATTTTTGGTCATGGTATTTCATCATAGTAATAATAACCCTAACTAAGAATCCTTTAAAACAAGATGCCAGGAACAGAGTCAGAGAATCCAAGAAAGCAAGCAACTCTTCATGAAAGTCATGATCCAGATTGTGGTAATATATTGTGTTTCCCCAATATATTGTGCATCCTAATAAACTTATCTGTGGTCAGAGGACAGAACAGCCATTAGATAGACATAGAGGCCAGAAAATGGTGGCACACACACACCTTTAATCCTAGCATTCTGGAGGCAGAGATCCATCTGCATCTCTGTGAGTTCAAAGCCAAACTGAAAACAGCCAGGCATGGTGACACATGCCTTTAATCCCAGGAAGTGATGGCAAGAAACAGAAAGGTATATAAGGCGTGAAGACCAGGAACTAGAGCCTGGTTAAGCTTTTAAGCTTTTAGCAGCAGTGCAGCTGAGATCCATTTGGATGAGGACACAGAGGCTTCCAGTTTGAGGAAACGAGATCAACTGAGGAATTGGCAAGGTGAGGTTAGCTGTGGCTGGTTCTTTTCTCTGATCTTCCAGCATTCACCCCAATACCTGGCTCCGGGTTTGTTTTTATTAATAAGACCTTTTAAGATTCATGCTACACCAAATAAAGGCAACAACGATGCAGCAACGTCAGGAACGGCTGAGACTGTGAGGCTAGGAAAAGTCTCTCCTAAGTAAGATAATGATAACTAACTAGATAGAAAGCTATGCAATCCCAGCTCAAGAGTCAGAGTAAACAAAACACTTTTAATATTTGAGAGTAATATAAAATAAAACCAAAGAAGAGGTAAATGTTACTGATTTTTGCAACAGAGAAAACAAACAGAAACAGGAACATATAGAAAAGTCCTAGAGAAAAGCTGAAGGCAGGGGAAATCACACAATCACACGTACAAAAGCAGGGATACTTCTAAAGGCATGGAGTTAACCAAAGTAAGATAGCATTCAACACCGTGTGCACATTACTTTAAATAAATTAACTTTAGAAAAAAAAACTACTCATAAGTGGTATTTAATTGAGAGAAAACCCCTCTTATAATATAGTTACTCAAATAGATTTTTCTGTAATTATACTATTAGTTTCTCTTAAAACCTTTATTCTAGAATCACAGAAACAACAAATAGCATGCATATGTACATGTTGTCTGTGTTAGTTCATTTTCTGTCAACTTGATACAAGTTAGTCATTTGGTGATAGGTAATCTCAACTGAGAAAACACCTACATCAGACTGGAGTAGAGGAAAATCTGTTGGGCATTTTCTTAATTAATGATAGATGTGGATGGGCCCACAGTGCATGGTGACATCCTGGGCAGGTGGTCCTAGCGATGTAAGAAAGCAAGCCATGGGCATAAAGCAGTAAGCAGTGTTCTGCCTTGGTTTTTGCTTCTCTTCCCACCCTGGCTTCCCCGGTGATGGACTGTTGCTTGAGAGCTGTCGGATGGAATGCACTTTCCTCCCCAAGTTGCTTTTGGTCACGGTGCTTTCTCATACTTAGAGAAAAATAACAAAGACACTATCTAAAAGGAAATAAATTTCTTCCAGTGAAGGGTGATTCTTACCATTGTTAAATCATAAATTTGTTTCTTTAATGCTGTCACATCTTGCTTTTGACTTATGTGTCTTGACTGTTCTTCAAGCTGAAAGAGCAAACAAAAGATAGGTATTTGGAAACTCATTTAGAAGCATTTTGGTGAAGATTAAAGATATTCTTTAATATTAATGTGGGAACTTTAGCAGTTTTCAATTTTTAACATCTTAGGGCTTTACAAATCACTAAATGACAAAATCTATAATATAAAAGATTTTTTTAAAATAATACAAACAATTGGAGAGGGACTTTTATTATTAAATGTATTTTCTTTAAAGCACTGCAAAAGTCATTTTGGAAACCACTCCATAATAAAACAACCCAATCCTTGCTTTCCTTATTTGCTAAAAGAATATGGGCATCCTCTTTCATCCTGTATGCTTAACACTTTGTTTTACTTTGTAATAGTCTTACCTCCTGTTTGAGTGTGGGAATTTTTTTTATTGTTGATTGAGATAGCCTCATATCATACAGGCTGGCCTCAATTTTGCTTACTTACTGAGGCTGGCTTTGAACTCCAGACAATCCTACCTTTCAAGTGCTGGACATACAGATGAGTACTAAAAACAAAGGTGTTCATTACCACAATCTTGGGCTTTTAACTCTGCATTTGGCTCTGTGTTTTTCCTTTAATAAGACCTGTTAAGATTCCTGCTACAACAATCAGCTATAAATTTTAAAAAAAAATTAAGAGTGTTAATGTCAGACTCTTCTGTTTTCTTCATAGTGATCTTTAAAAATGCTTACAATAATAAATGAAATCACTAATATCTAAGCACGTAAGCATGATGTGAAGCTAGACATGCACAGAGAGAGAATAAACTATAAATGTGTATACATGAGGTCTGCTTCTTGGCTGATACATTCATACCAGAATTCAAGAATATCTAAAATAAAAATAACTTTCCCATGAGTCAGCTGTGGTGGTATACAACTGTGAACCCAGAATTGGAAGGAACAGGTAGGAAGAGCATAAGTTTAGAGCCAGCCTAGGATACACAATGAATTCAAGGCCAACCTGAGAAATAGATCAAGACTACGTCTCAAAAAGAAATGTCAAAAAGGGGGGGCAAAGTACCACATTTTCTTAGCACTGCAAACAAAAACAAAAAGACTTGACTATGAAGAAGTAACTTCCCAGATCTGTGAGGTTTTGTTTGCAGGTGTCCTCAAACAGAGGGCTTCTGCACTAGCCAAAAGACTTACCAGATTTCATCATGCTCATGTGCTTTACCTATGAGCATTACCCATCTTGCCAGAAGCTATCATGTGACAAGACTTCCATGTGACTAACTGTGACTGACAGATGCATATTAACTGGGTTTGTTGTCTGGTGAAGACTGTCTCATTTTCCAGGCATTGCCTTCTGCTAGATTGCTTTCTTTTCATATACCCTTTGTGTTGACTCTCCTCCAGAGCAGGCAGCAGATCTGGATCCAGCCTTCTACATGTGTTTATCTAGTTTACTTAGCACCACTTGCTAAGAAAGGCTGTTGATTCTCCAATATTAGCACCTGTATGAGAATCAGATGGTTGTAGCTTTGTGGATCTATTTCCAGGTACTTTAGTCCATTGATCTGTGTGTCCTTCAATACGCCACTCCTGTGTTGTTTTCTATTACGATGCCTGTAGTATAATTTGAACTTAAAATTTGTTATCATAATATATCTAATAAAAAGAGAGATGCATTATGACGTCACAGAAGAAAATTATGAAGGAAAAAACCTAAGACTCTCAGAATAATTGTCAAAAATAATGGCAGTCATAATACTCTTTAAAGTATTTTCTTTATAATTTGAGAGCACTTAACATTCTCTCTGATAAATATTTTTACTGTTCTATGCAGCAAGCATACTACCAGGTGGGCAAGAAGTCTAAAAGGAAAGAAACACAGATTCTACCAGCTATATAATTTTGAGAAGGCCATTCATCCTATCTGGAACTTAGTCCTCATTTAATACGATCCTCAAAAGTGAATTCATATTTAGCATTTCAAATTCTGTGAATGATCTTAATAAATTACAGTCAATAAAATACCAATTACTACAGTTAGTCAGGATAATTCATTATTAAAACTATGTTTTAAATGAGAAGTTAAGGATTGAAAATATTAAGAAATACTTCTATGTGTTATACGGAAAAAATGGTATAATTTCAGTGAGGACTCAGGTCAGACCTCATCATCCTCACTTATGATCTCTCACTGTTAGGACCTCATATGTTATATCAGGTAACAATTTCCACATCTATCCTTGCAATGTAAAGAGCTGGGAACTCATAAAAATAAATGAAGACAATGACTAGAAGAGTCCATGGATAAGCTGATGCATAATTCTGGAATCTATTCATAGTATGATGGTCTAGTTATTATTTAAAACAACTACATATAAGATAATCATGGTTTAATTGCTTTATAGAGAACTCCTAGATGATTCTCAGCCACTGCAGAGACTGAGATGATCATGGGTTACAATGGCAAGTTAACTGTAACTTAACTTTTCTTAACTGCTAGTGATGCTTATGTTAAGGGCAGTCTCATCTGGGGTGCCACATGTTACTGGGGAAATATGGCTCCCCTGTTGAGGGTCTTAGTCTCAATGACAAACAAATTAAATAAGAGACTCAAAAAGAAACAAAAGGACAATTTTACTATAATTTAAAGGAAAAATCTTAGACAGGTAAGCCTTAATTTTTGCAGCTGCTCAGGGAAGAACGATGTTTAAAAGGAAGGTATGCCCTTTGGGGTAAGACTGGTATATTCATCAATGGAGGTCAGCCACAATGCAGACAAGTGCCACATGGCAAAAATGTGGTGGGGAGGCGTTGAGAGAAAGAGTAAGAAGGTCTTAGACTGCGTTGGGAAAAGCATGCCTAGAACAGACATGGAAGAAAACAAAAGTTATGCTTTCCTGAGTAGTTAAGAAAAGCTGGCAGAGGAAAGGAAGCTCCATGGATGCCACTCAGTAAGCAATGAACAGAAGGCAGTTTCTGGGAAGGATAACTCCATTATCTTATATTAAACGGTTAATCAGTCCTCCCATCTCTTTAGCATGGCATTAGGTGAATCCACCTTCCTGAAGGGTGATCCCTTAAACCAGGAGACTCCCTGGCCCAACTGGATTAATTCTTTTTTTTTTTTTTTTTTGGTTTTTCGAGACAGGGTTTCTCTGTGTAGCTTTGCACTGGATTAATTCTTAATGTTTTAGGTAGCACAGAATGGTAGGTTCCTATACAAGTTAAGTTAAATAGATTGTATGCTCTTGACCAGAAGGAAGTGGCTTTCCCTTAATGGACCTCTAATGCTACTGAATTATTTAATTTTTAGTTCTGTTTACTTAAGCTATCCCCACTACTTGTGGAAACAACCACATATAAGATGTGAGCTTAATTCTGAGATAGATCCATCTTATAGTGACAGGTGAGAGTTTACTTCTGCATATGGGGATGTGAATTTGATAGCATGATGTCAATAATACTACAAGTATCTGCACCACAGAAGCTGGTAAGGGCTACAAAACTCCCTGTCCCATGGCCATACTCCAGAGTCACTGACTAACATGTAGAAGCATATCTGAGAGTACAAAGGATCTGTTCATTGGAACCAAGAGGGAGAATATCAGTAATCAAATATACTTTTGCTCATGTTTCCACAATTCTTTTTCTTACTTCTCAATGATCAGGTGATTGTTAGGCCCGGAACTTTCTACTTAAAAGACAATTTTTATTTCACTTAATATTTACTAAATATCTGCTATGCACATTGTAGTAAGCTAAGAACACAGGGATACCTGAGATAGCCAGACAAGGTTTCAATAAGGAACACACTTTCCTCTGGATGCAAGGGATTCCCTCAAAGCATTTGGTGAATGAAAAGTAAAGAAGTGGGTTTGATGAACTGTTCAAGGATAAGGCATTTTATTATTCCCATGTTATAAGTCAGATGGTCCAAGATCTAGAAGAACTACGGGGAGGGGGCTTTAAAAATCAGAGTCTCCCAAGGAGTTCTTTCTTCTGCTTCAACATAATTCTAAATGTTTTTCATTTTCAATGTCTTAGACACAGTGAGATACTAAAGCTATTTCCAGAATGTCTATATGCCATGTACATACCTTTTTTAACTTTTTAATGGTCACCTGTAGGTCTCCCACTTCTGTTTCATACTGACGTCTGAGGTCACTGAGGGCTTCCTCTGCTTTGCGTTTTTCCTAGAGGGAAAATGAAAGACATCATTTAGGTAATTTCTGTCTCTTAAATGGCCTTCAAATTCTCATAGACATGAATTATTTCATATCAAGCTAAGCTGACAAAAATGCTCCTAAACAGGAAGGGTGAGATTTGATGGCAGAAGGACACCAGGATGTTTTAGGTGTGCAGGAGTGCTGGACTTGAGACCTACAAAAACAGAAGAACTACAGAACGTCAAGATTCGCACATCATCCTGATGTGCAGTCTCTAAGACTGTAGCACCATGATAATACCACAGCATACCAGTGAATCAGTTAACCATTGCTCTCAAAAGATATAGCACAGCTATGGGATGCAGTGAACACATACATCCTATGATGGCTCAGTACTCAGGAAGGCACAGCCAGTGACCTGTTGTCCTATCCTTTTCCTTTTACCTGAATTCAAATCACATCATCATAAATGTCTATGCAGCAACTGTGATAGGCTGGGAGAGTTCCTTAACAGGGGTATAGTCTGAGAAATGTTATTAGGTGGTTTTGTCCTTGAGTCAACATGATGAAATGCACTAACACCAAGAAAGGTGGCTACAACATCCCCAGGCATTAATGATGGGAGTGGAGACACCGGTTCACATGACTGTGTGTTGCACACTCCGATGTGTCCCATTGAGTTTCCTTGTAGATGACAGTGACAAAAAGGCACACCAGAGGGCGCAGGGACTGCTATGCAGACATCTCTACCGAGGTAGGAGGAATGGGCTTGGGTAGAAGACTGGAAACTTTCCAAGCTGCTGGCTACATGCTGGAAAACAGAGTCTGTGAAAAAGTTGAGTAACATATAAGGGATCTACAAAAGACAATAAAGACCCCATGACGGTCTTTTGGAACAGGACTTTTATATTACGGATCCATTAGCTGTCTCTCTCTGTCCCAAAAGCCACTAAGTCCCCCTGTAGTTTGTCCCTTATGACAAAGAGACAGGCAAGCACCTGCAGGAACAGGAGAAAAGCAAACCAAGTCACTCATTTTCCCACCGGGAGTGGACTTGCAAGACAAAGCTGATTAGCTGTGCTGTGACCTTGCAGCCCCTCCCCCTTGAAGCTGCAAGACAAGTTTATGGTCAGGCCAGGTCAGGCTAGATCACAGCTTGTTGGGAATAAAAGAACAAATCCAAGGCTCTAGTGACAACAAAGCAGTTTTTAATAATATACAATTCTGCAGAAAGAGACACTAACATAAAGGAAAGGCAAAAATAGCTAGTGTGCTGATTTGGCTCAATACGGTGATTTTTTTTTAAGTCCCCAGATGATGGGAAATTCCTGTCCTCTTCTTACATAGGCTGACTTGCCCCCTTAAAAAATTCACCATCTTAATTGGTTTAATGCACAAAGCCTTTTCTGATGAATAATTTAGAGCTTGAGACTGCCCTTTTCTGATCTTAGACTCAGTCACTTATCAGATTATGTGTAACTTCCCAACTCTTAAAGAGTTTTGATATGAACAGGTGCCACTGGACAGCTAGGGGTGACAGGATCCATCTCCTCCTACTTATCTATAGCTCTGTTGAACTCTAAGTGATCCCCATACTTAAAATGAACAATGGCAATTTATTTCTTTCAAGTCGCTTTTCTCTCTTTTACTCTTATTGGTCCTATTTTCAGATTGTTTTAATCATTTTTATTGCTGTTGTTAACTCATTCGCAATGGTAGTTAATCCTTGAGGGATGTTTGTGATTGTCTTACCAGGAGCTGTGCTCTTGCTAATCAAGGCATAACATCTTCCACAAAGTATGACACAAACATCTCCTTCTCAGTTAGTGTCATTAAGTCAATTCTCCCAAGCCATTCAGCTAAAGATATTCCTTTAAGATCATCCCTGGCATAATCAATAAATCCTTGTTAATTAAAACAAATGGTCATTTCAGTCGACATTCTTGTCTACTGCTGACCATTAGAATATAGCCAATTCAAACCCTGTAGCTATTTGGTTTTTAGCATTACTTTGGAACTCCCCTGGTAACTCCTATAGAGTCAACATAGACATCAAATAATCCAGGTATTGGGGCTGGAGAAATGGCTGAGCAGTTAAGGGTACTAGTTGCTTTTGCAGAGGACCTGAATTTGGTTCCTACCACACACATGGCAGATCACAACTATTTGTACCTCCAGTTCCAGGGGATCTCATGCTCTTTTCTGGTCTCCATGGGCACCAGGCATGCACACAGCACAAAGAAATACATGCAAGCGAGACATTTATACACACAAAATAAAAATAAGTAAATGTTTTTAAACCTCTTTGCACTGGAATTGGCTTCACTAAGCAAAAGTGAATTGAATACCAAAGTTAAGGGTAAAGAACTACTGAACCGACGTGCATATCCTAAGGAAGTCAGGTGGTAACTTGAGTAAAGGTTCACCTGTATACAGCACCATCAAAAGTCAGCTCAGGGGACAATGAGGGTCCCTTTGTTGCTTCAGACATCCAGGATATTGGTATAGACTCAAAAAACAAAGAGTCAGAAGACGACACATTCAAAAACTGAAAACTATATATATAACAATATCTAAGAAAAAATGTTCACTATCCTTAGAAATTAGGAAAATGCAATTCAGAACAACTCTGAGATTTCATTAGACCCAAATCACAATGGCTAAGATAAGCACAACTACCAACAAACAATAAATGCTGGAGCAGATGTAAAGAAAACAGAGCCCTCATTCATTGTTATTGGGACTGCAAACAGTATAGCCTATATGGAAATCAGTACAGAAAATTAACAAAAAACTAAAATAATTCTACACATAGCCCATTCCATTCTTTAGCATATGCCCAAAGGACTTGACCCCACAGATACTTGCTTAGCTATGTGCACTGATATTCTAGTCACAATAGATAGGAAAAAGAAACAACCTAAATATCCTTCAACTGAGGAATCAATAAGGAGTGAAAATGTGATTCATATACAGGATGGAATACTACTCAACTGTAATAAAAGGTGAAATCATGAAATCTGCAGGTAAGTGGATGGAAGTAGAAAAGATTATATTGAGTGAGGTAACCCAGACACACAAAAAAAAAGTGCATGTTCTCTCTCATGTGTCATTCCGAGATCCAAATCTTCAGATGTGAGTATTTAGCCTGAAATAATCACAGAAACTAGGAAAGGAAAAATGTACCAAAAGGGCAGGAGTTGGCACTGGAGAGGAGAATAGCAATCTACAAGTGACATAAATGGGAAAAATGGGAAAAATGGTGGAGGCTTTAATTGAAGAAGAGAAAGAAAGTCAATACAGCAGGAAAGAGGGAGGCAAAATAACGCTACAACTTTTGGGGGGAAAACATAAGAATCATTAGCCTTTATTTATCAAAAAGGACATATAATACATATAGATGCATATGTATACATATAAACCTTAAATCTTCAATATGTCACTTGGGCTTACAATGCTCTCCACAAGAGCCATGAATTAACAAAATCTTCAATACCAGGAATGAAAAGCCTTCTTTCAAGTTAGGGGAGTCCAAAAGACTCCAAAATCAACATGGGCTATTGTGTTGCCCTTGGTTGCCTCCTAGAGTTTTATGTAAGTTCTTACTACTGAAGATGCCATACACTTTGTATAGGCCTATAACCCAAAAATGTTTTTCCCTGGGGAATAACATTTTTTGGTAGGTTACTATTTTATTTTTTCTTTTTTTATTATTAAAAAATTTTCTATTCACTTTACATACCAAACACAGATACACCCCCCCTTCCCTATTCCCACCCCCCCAGCCTTCCCCCACAACCCATGCCCCATCCCCACATTTTCAAAGTCAAGGTCTCCCATGGGGAGTTAGAAGAGCCTGGCACACTCAGCTGAGGCAGGTCTAAGACCCTGCCCTCTGCACCAAGGCTGTGCAAGGTGTCACACCCTAGACACTGGGCTCTATAAAGCCTGCCCATGCACCAGGGACAGATCCCGATCCCCCTGCCTGCCCCCCCCCAAAACATTTCAAGCTAAATGACTGTCTCCCATATCCAGAGGGCCCAGTCTTGTCCTGTGGGGGCTCCACAGCTATTAATCCACAGTTCATGGGTTTCCAATAGTATGGCTGGTCATCTCTGCACATTTTCCTATCATGATCTTGACATCTCCTGCCCACAGAATCCCTCCTCTCTCTCATCAATTGGATTCCTGGAGCTCAGTCTGGTGCCCAGCTGTGGATCTCTGCATCTGCTTCCATCAGTCACTGGATGAAGGCTCTGTGATGACAGTTAGGGTATTCACTAGTCCGGTCAACAGAGTAGACCAGTCCAGACACCCTCTCGACCATTGCCGGTAGTCTAAGCTGGGGTCATCCTTGTGGATTCCTGAGAACTTACCCAGCACTCTGCCTCTTCCTATCCCCATGATGTCTTCATTTATCATGGTATCTCTTTGCTTGCTCTCCCACTCTGTCCCTGTTCCAGCTTGACCCTCCCATTTCCTTATGTTCTCATCCCCCATTCTTTGCTCTTCATTTTCCCCCCACTCCCAGTTTGCTCATGTAGATCTCATCTATTTCTCCTTCACTGGGCTATCTATGTGTCCCTCTTAGGGTGCAATCCCCATCAAAATCCCAACACAATTCTTCACAGTCCTGAAAAAAACAATACTCAACTTCATATGGAAAAACAAAAAACCCAGGATAGCTAAAACAATCCTGTACAATAAAACAACCTCTGGAGGCATCACAATCACTGATCTCAGGCTCTACTATAGAGCTATAATAATAAAAACAGCTTGGTACTGGCATAAAAACTGACACATGGACCAATGGAATCAAATTGAAGACCCTGACATTAATCCACACACCTATGAACATCTGATTTTTGACAAAGAAGCCAAAACTGTACCACGGAAAAAAGAAAGCATCTTCAGCAAATGGTGCTGGCATAACTGGATGTCAACATGAAGAAGACTGCAAATAGATTCATATGTGTCACCATGCACATAACTTAAGTCCAAGTGGATCAAAGACCTCAACTATCAAGTTCAGTGTAACTGGATTTATGAAGGGAATAACTTTCATAATACCAGATATTGCGATACAAGCTGCCAAGGAAGAGATGCAACCAAAGTCCTACTCAACTATATACCACAAACATGACCACCATGGCATGATATCTTTAAAGGTACAGTTGTGGCACAAATATGTTGGTGGTACCAAAAGCTGTCTAATTGTACTTATGGGCCACTCAACAGCAGGAAAATCATGTTTTGTACTGGAGACTTATCCAACTACCCAGGGCTTGTGAGGTCATGGACCTTAGAAAAGAACCTTTTTACCACTTTACTAAACCAGCATTATTCCTAACTGCATTCTAAATACTCATCCTAATAGCCAAAAATAAGTGTAGCTACTGCCTCCCCTCACACCCCAAGCCCACTCCCCCACATCAAAGAAGCACCTCTTTGCAGCTGAAGACCAGTGTGGAAAACCATAACTGGTCAAAATACAGAGAACAATCGATTGTGAAGTGCCCAGTCACAACGGATACCCGTAAAGCACAACTCATGAATGTACAGCTCAGGGATCTGCTGTGGGATGTCTGATGTGGGATATCTTTCTGTACAGTCTGAATATATGTTGCTTTGATTGGTTGATAAATAAAGCTGTTTGGCCAATGATGAGGCAGAATAATGTTAGGCAGTACATTCAAACTGGAGACAGGAGAAGAAAGGAGAGTGGGGCAGATGCTACGAGCCACTACAAGAAGCAAGATGTGAAAGTAACAGTAAGCCACGAAGCCACGTGGCAATATATAAATTAATAGAAAGGAGCAGAGTTAAGTTGTAAGAGCTAGCTAGCGAGAAGCCTGAACCATTAGGCCATACAGTTTTTAAATAATATAAGCCTCTGTGTGTTTACTTGGGACCAAGGAGACATGAGTGGTAGAGAGTGATTCCAACCAGTGTCTGGTTAGGACCAGAGAAACTTCCTGCTACAGGGATCATCTCAAAAGAGGGAAAAGAAATATTGTAAAAACCAGAAGAATGGGAAATCTGCTGAGAGAGTATATCTCCTAGAAAGACAGAGAAGCTACAACCATGATATTGCAACACCATCATGACCTGAACAAAACTGGAACAAGGACAACACCAATAAGCATGCTAAGATCAAAGGGAGACACAAAAAAAAAATAAATAAATAAATAAAATAAAATAAAAATTTAAAAAAAACTCTAGACAAAAAACAACTAAGGAATGATGAAGGAGAGAATTAGTCTTCCTTGGGGATGAGACCTTTAACTGTTATCTAATACCAAGCAGTCAGCCCAGAAACCTGTATACATACAAGATTTGTATACATATGAGCAACACTAAGCAGACTCAGCATGTTGTATTTATATATTAATGCACATACATGTAACAGTAACAATTAAAGAAGAATTTGAGAGGAAATGATGGTTGGGGACATGGTAGGAGTTTGACAGAGAAAAAAGAAAGGGGTATATGATGTAATCATATTTTAAACTTCTTTTAAAATAATAAAATTATTGATGTTTAATGCAGAAAATCTCAGAAAACACTGAAGTACATTAAGGAAAAATTAATCAATGATAGACATTAAGAATTGCTGTTCACTATCTTTTAATATTTTCTTAATAAAAATGATGTCATTGACCAAAAAAAGCCAAAATATAAAAAGCAAAATCCCCCACTTGCAGTAACCAGACCCCAATTGCTAGTCACCTAACCCAACAGCTTTGTGATTTTTTTATAAAAAAAAAAATAATAATGCCTAACTCCTAATGGTCCCTGGGCCTTACCATGAACTATCAGTGCCAGAAATGATAAATGGTATGATAAAATACTGCCTAACTGGACAGTGAACTGAGCTGCTTACCTCCTATGTATCCAAACATGAACCCATAAAAATGGTCAATTCTGCTCTGATAAATATAGCAGATCATTCCCAGCACCACAAAACTAAATAATTATCTCTTAATGAGATGTAATTATGCATCCACAGACACATATATAATAAAATTTAGCAAACAGAATTCATCATTACAGATGGAATATAATATATCATAGACAGTAAAACAAGAAAACATTATCCAGAAGAGAAGTAAAATTGTCTTTATTCATGCTAGATGGCAGTGGTGCATGCCTTTAATCCCAGCACTCACGAGACAGAGCCAGGCAGATCTCTATGAGTTTGAGGCCAGCCTGGTCTACAGAGCGAAATCCAGGACAGGCACCAAAACTACACAGAGAAACCCTGTCTCAAAAAACAAAACAAAAAATTGTCTTTATTCATATATTTTGCTATTATCAATCCCCAAAAAACTGCTAGAATACATCAGAAGTTACTGAATATACATTTTATGTATGTGTGTATTTCCAGTACAATATTCAATATATATAATTTTCAATACCATCAAAATAGAACTATTAGAAGCAAATCATATATAGTATCTGCACACTGAAGACTATTAAACACTTCTGAGAAGGGAGAACTAGAGAATGGTTCATTTATAGATTAGAGTACTCAGTACTGTTACAATGTCAGTGCCCTATCTTAACCTACAAATGACTGGGTAGTCAAGCCCTCAGTAGAATGTTGTTTTAGATTTGCTTTTGAATATCAATATGTTGGTTCTATGGAAAAATTAAACAGGTAAAGCAACTCTGTAAAGGAATGAAATCAAGGACTGAAACCACTGGACTTCAAGACTCACTATGAAACAACAGCTGTGGACACAGTGCATCACTGACCCAGGGACAGAGCAGAGCCAGGACAAAAGAGGAAGCTTACACAAACACAATTAGCTGGCTTTGGCAAAGCACAAGTGTGTTCAGCACAAAACGGACAAACCACTGCTGCTTTCAACCGTACTAGAATAAGCAGATTTAAACACATACAAATGAACACTGATCAGACTGTGGAAGGTGCTATGAACACTACCAGAGTCAAAAAATCATCATCAGTCTTACTCAGATGTGAACTCTGTGAGCTATAATAACAATTGGCCCAGCAAGAATTTGGGTAGCATAAACCGGGCAAACATGGGATTAAGAGAAAATGGGAATAACATGCAGTAGAGCAGGTAGAGAAAGGCCAATAGATCTGGGAGGATCTGAGGAGTGGTGAATATAATCAAAGTACATTGTATGAAATTCTCAAAGAATTAATAAAAATATTTTTAAAGAGATAGGACAATAAAGATACTCAAAGGGAACTATGTGTGTGGTAAATACAAGTAAGATAAATTATCTGAAAGGAAACAAAGAAGGCACAGAAAAAGATAGTAACAGCCATGGCTGTGCCTATCAAAGGCAACGCTTCTCAGTACTTTACATACGTCACCATGACTAATCTTCCTTGAGGATGACAGGTGGCAGGGCAAAGACTCACAGGAGAGATTACTCTACTAGTACCACCTGGCCTTGGTAAGGGCCAAGTCAGCACATAGACTTATGTCTGCTTGATGCCAGCACTGGGGACTACACTTTTATTGCCTCTCAACACAAAAGTAGAATTTTACATCCTAATATTACCTACTCAAAGAAAATATGTATATTTTCTGCTTTCAGCAAACATCAACTGCCCAAACATATTTTATACTGAAAAACACACCTCTCCTGAGGAAATCACTAAAGATATCATGTAACTTTCCACTTAAGAATCCCAGTAACAATAAGATTCCATCACAAAACACCACAGTTAGGAGACAGGATTTTAAATTAACTGCAATTGAAATTTGAAGTTTGGTAGTGAGAACAACATACACATAGATGTCCAGCCGTCTTCTCACCAAATCTGACTCCAGTCCTCCACTCCATGCCATGCATTTCAAAGAGACCTCTGCCCTTGCATGTAAGCTGACTCCTCTCCCACTCACATGAGCATTATTAGTACTGGAGAGGTATGTCCTCGGCATACTTAATTACAATCTCTGTATCTCTTTAACTTGAGGCCACAAAACACTTCTGGTTATAAAAATCCTTTCTCTACTCAAAATCTAGAAGGTTGCCATTTTGATATAGGGTACTAAGTAGTAAAGCCTACTGTCCCCAAGCTTTGTCATCAAGAGAAGTATCCAGAGCTCCACAATGAAAGGTGCTCCCTAAAGATCTGCCAAATGAATAAATGGCCAACCCACAAACTCACATCTTTCCGGGTCTCATTTTCTACTGCATGAATCCTCTGATCCATTTCCTCTTCCAGCTCACTCAGTTGAATGGCTGCCTTGTCTTGAGCTCTGAAATTCAAAAGGTTCATTGTATACTTAGGTTGAAAATTGTAAAAAGAAACTTAAAACTCATCAGCTTCAGGCTTCACATTGTATAGATAAGGTTAGTATTCTACATGATGTTTCCTAGTCCTTCTATGTGATAAACTAAGGTTGCCAACATGACTATTTGGGTGTAAAATGACATTAAACAACTGAAATAGATTAAATATTAGGCTGAGATAAACAATAGCTAAAGACAGCAAATTTCTGGGAGACTGTCAGCAAATGTGAACATCTTATTGCCATAACTGAGTGACAAAACTGGACAAATGAAAGAACTTTATGGCAATAGACTATTAGATATAATTTTAAAATTCCATTATCTAAACTTCACAATCGTATAGGCTATAGTTAAAGGCAGAAGGATCAATTTCAGCAACTGTTTCTAATCAGTCTCTTACAGTTCCAGAGATTAAAATTATCTGCTAGGAAAAATCTTGTACTCTACCCAAGATATCGAGTACTGGAACTCATGACCCCAAAGGGTGCATCTTTATCACTCTTTTGAAGACTCAGGGCTGAGACCTGGAAAGAACAGGAAATCTGCTGGCAAGGTCTTTACCTAGCTTGGCTTCAGAGTCTGCCTACCTCTGTTTTGGTCAAGTTTCCTTTGGTGAAGTTTCCTGTTTGGGTCAAATGGCTGGGGAGAAGGCACAGTATGATTTTTTCAGGATGAAATTGTCAATTTTGAGGAGTTGACAATATAGGATGGCAATGACCAACCAACAGATTGCTGTTTGACCCTGCAATTACTACCTAATACAACTTACCCTATGTGGAATATTCTAGAATGTTCTGGGTTCCAAAAGTTTCAGGAAAACCACTTGTATCACAACATCACTGCTATTCAGTTCCTTTACAACTCTGGTCACAGAACAAGTAAAAGGACCCTGTGTGTCCTCAGAAAGGAAGCAGATTGATACCTCTTCACTGCAATGGCCAAGTTTTCCATTTCTGTGCTCTGGAGTTTGATCTCACGGAGAAAGTTTCTTATCACATGTTCATATGGCTGGATTAATCTTGGCTCCACAAGATTGATGTTCTGGTACAGGGTACTAACTTGTTCTTTTCTGCCAAAAATATTAAAATTAAATGGTATCAGTTTAAAAGTAAAATAGAAAATGTACAGGGATGAGATAGATAACTAAAAAAGAAACCAGAAGGATTTTAATATCCATAGACTGATCTGGAATAAAGATAACAGAGAAGGCAGAGAGCCTTTGGGGTTCTCCATGTCAGAAGACGGCGAGTGGGAAATCCAGGGCAAATGCAAGGAAAGGGAGTTAGGATGAAGAATTATTTATTTTACCTGCTAAAAATTGAGTAGTAATGAACTTTAAAGAAAAGTGAATTGGTTACCAAATTCTGCTTCTCCAATCCCTAACAAGATGTGCATTAATCTTTGAACTTAGAATGGATATACCTATTATTTTGTGGTCAGTCAAAATTACTTCAGGCAAATTCACATTTGTGGATACATTCACACATTTTTTTTCTTCCTAGTTCTTCAAACACTAAAAATTTGGAGCTTTCTCATACCAATCAATTTTCTATTTTTCAGACAACAATTAGATGTTCAAATTTTTTACTTAATTAATAACTACTGAAAGTTGGCACAAGTTCCCTGGCTAAGGGCTCCAATCTACAATTTTGCCCCCCTTCAGGCAACAGTCACCTGTCCAAGTGATGCCTATTTCGAACTAATCAGCTACAAATCAGCAGTTCCCATGAGTATGTTAAAATGGCTCATGGAACTCAGGAAAATATTTACTTCCTTTTAACAGCTTATTATAAAGAATAGCAAAATGGGAAGGGTATAGAGGGGCCACAGAATTTTCATGCCTTGGCTATGCCACTCATGCTGCTAAAGTGTGAACACTTTGATGTATTCACAGACACAGAAGTTCCCTAAGCACACTCTTATAACCAAAAGTCAAACTCAACTTTTAGCCCTTTTTTATTCCCCAGAGTCAGGGATGAGGCTCCAAGTTCCAGCCCTCTGATAATGCTTCATATCTATCTATCTATCTATCTATCTATCTATCTATCTATCTATCTATCTATCTATCTACCTTTCTTTCTTTCTTTCTTTCTTTCTTTCTTTCTATTTTTCTATCTTTCTACCTTTCTATCTATCTTTCTATCTATCCTTCTGTCTTTCTATCTTTCTATCATCTATCTATTTGACAGTCAGCCTCCATTCTGAAACAATTCATGGCCTAGAGCTATCATGTATTTCAATACCTAGTAGAAGAAAAGAGGTGATAGGACAGCTAATGGAATTCCAGCCTCAAAGATCATCAGCTACTGCCCTAAGTGGAAGTGAATGTGGTTTTCATGTAAATCACCCTTTTATGTCTTTATAGAAATATATATTGTGCTGGCTAATTTTATGTCAAGTTGACCCAAGCTACAGTCACTGGAGAGAAGGAGCCCTCAATTGAGAAAATGACTCAGTATACAGTCTGGCTATAGGAAAGCCTGTAAAACATTTCCTTAGTAGTTTATGTGGGAGAGTCCAGCCCATTGTGGGTGGGACCACCCCTGGGCAGGTGGTCCTGGATTATATAAGAAAGCAGGATGAGCAAGCCATGCAGAGAAAGACAGTAAGTAGCACCTCTCCACTACCTCTGCATCAGCTCTTGCCTCCACGTTCCAGCCCTGCTTAGTTCCTTACCTCACTGCTTTTGATGATGAACTGTTATGTGGTACTGTAAGTGAAATAAACCCTTTCTTCCCCAATTTGCCTTTAGTCACAATGCTTCATCACAGCAATAGTAACCTAACTAAGACACATACTTTGGGTGGATTTAATAATCATTCGACTTTCTACCAGTACCAACATTTTTCTCAACAGATAGGCTGTGGGCTGGTATCCTTATGGTACATCAGGGACACTGAAATCTATCCTTACTTCTTATTCAGGGCAAGGAGTGTTATAATTTTACAGGAACTGTGACTGTGAGAACACATGACAGTAACAGGAATTCTTTTTTTAAGGAAATAACATATATACCAGCTAAAAGATACACCAGGGTTTGGAAAAATAGGTAATTCCTTAGGTCTGAAGTAACTTATCACAACACCAACCTGAAAGAATTATCAATTTTCATCAAGATTAAAAATGCTAGGGATAGAGAGTACTCAAAAAAGGTAGATCCTTTCATATACACTATATTATTGAATAATCAGCAGCAGCACTTGGTTATTTCTTATACTTGATGATCTTCCACTGTGATTTGATAGTCACTCTCTCAACAATGTGAAAGATCCACTGTCTCCTGACCCTAATATAGAGAGATTACTCTTGATGAGCACATCTTACACTAGAAACACTACTGGGCAGGACAAGAAACCAGGAAGCTCATAATCCTTTCACAGCCATCCACAGTACCCGGTGTGATGATCACATATCATTCAAATACCCTGAACACAGAACTCACACCATCTTCTCCATTCATTTTGGCAAGAGTCTCTCAAGGGCAGTCTGTTTTCATGTTTGTTTTAGATGTTCTTATTTATTATTTTATGTATATGAATGTTTTGCTCTCATCCATGCATGCCTGGTGCTCACAGAGGTCAGAAGAACAACTTTGGAAGCTAATGCAGAAGGATCATGAGTTCAATCAAGGCCATTCTAGCTCAATTGTAAATTATTATTATTTTAGTTAAAGGGAAACAAAAGAAGGACAAGGACTGAAGGTTGATTGGTGGGGGGGAGAGACAGGAACAGTGGGTCAGGTTACAGGCTCTCTCCCTAGACAGGGCTGAGAACAAGGTGTTCAGTGACCTTACAGTTCTCACAGAGTTCATTCTCTCCCTCGGGCAGCTGCAGACCATCTGCTCCTAGACCCAAGACAAACTTGCATTATTACTTTACTTTATCAGCATCTTGTGACTTTTACATCTAGGCTGGGTTACATGGTATGGAACTTATCCATCTCCCCACCTGCCCTTGAAATCCTGTGAAAGCAAGAAATCCCCTTTTGTTCTTTGGACCTGAAGGTCTACCTTTTCCTTCAAGATCCCACTGTGCTATAATTCTCCTTGTTCTTTAGACCTGGAGAGAAATGAAGGCTCTTTCCCTTCAGGATCCCATCAACACTATCCTTGACAGCTGTCTTTCATAATGAAGCTTTTATCTGGACCTGAATGTGTGTCCTTCCACTACAGGCTGTGATGCTGAAATTCTTCTAATAAAGCTTATCTGAGAAGTAATTAATCTCTGCCTTCTTTCTACAAAGCCACCATTATCTACAACAGGCAGGAATGCAGCAAAGTAGAAAGGCAAGCAGGAAGAATTAGAATAAATGTTCTTCAAAGCAAAAAAAAAAAAAAAACCTCTGCTACTGTCCTACCCAGCCACATACTGTGATAAAACCAGAAGGCCTGACTCTCCACTTGTGCTAGAAGGGGAGCCAAACTGCATTGTTCCTGATGTTAATGTCAAAGGATGCAACCCATCAATCAAGATGAGCTTTGGCTATGGTGCAGAAGAAGTGGGTCTCTTTATGCCTACCCAGCAGATCCCAATTTATTGCCACATAACGTGAGTACATCATCTATTGGAATGTTCACAACACCCACAAAAAGTATTTTTATTAACTCATTTTACAAATCAGGCAGAGATAGGGGCCTGTTATGAGATAAATCATCGTCCCAATGCCCCAAATTCATGTACTGAAACCCTACTACCAGGAATTCAGACTCTAATATAATTATACTTAAAGAGTCTTTAAGGAAGGAATTAAGTTAAAAATGAATCATTATGATGAGTTCTAACCCAGTCTTACTGGTGATCTTATAGAAAGAGGAGATTAGATACCGACATATATAAAGAGAAGACTGCATGAAGACTTAAGGGAAGATGGCAGCTCTAAGTCCAGAATAAAGGCCCAGGACAAACTGACCCTACTGGTCCCCTGGTGTCAAATTTTAGAATCTATAATTATGAGAATGTCCTGTTGTTTAAACTAAGTGTGGTGCTTGATGCTACAAATGCCTGGGCATCCCATAAGACCCAAGGACACAGAGATTAAATGACAGAATTGAAATTCTGTTTTGTGTTAGAGACCTCATAATTAACCACTAACCTCCTACTGCTTCTCAGTTCTGCTAAATACCTGAACTTTGGCAGAAGAAATGGGATTCAAAATTAATCGATAGAACTTTAAAACACTGTATGACACGAGTTACAACTTAACTATGCTGCTTAATTAGGCATAGCCAAATATATATATATATCCCTGTTTCTGTTAAATTTCTTAGGACTTTTTCTTCTAAATAAAGAAGAAATCCATTGCTCAATCCATTCAGAAGCTAATCTTGATTCTTAAAAACTGTTCAAGTGCTGGGTGGTGGTGGCACACGCCTTTAATCCCAGCCAGGCAGATCTCTGTGAGTTTGAGGCCAGCCTGGGCTACCGAGTGAGTTCCAGGAAAAGCTACACAGAGAAACCCTGTCTCAAAAAAAAAAAAAAAAAAAACTGTTCAAGTATTATTAATGAACTCATAATAGTAAGTCACTTTATATGATGATTTAAGATACTCAAACCTGTCATCACTCCTCCCATTAGAGCTCAGGACAAATTCTGGTTGCAAGAATGATCCACATTATTCAAGAATAGTAAATCAACAACAAAAATCTCTTCTTCTATGTGATCATCCTAAGTAACTCCATTACAGAACAGGACAATTCATGTCTTTACTTGTATCATTTACACTAGTGGAGTACAAAAATCTAAAAATATACTATGTGGTAGTAATCTGTCAGAGAAATCATTCTCTGGAGTCATTTACCAGCTAACTGCACAACAGTGAAACATTCCATTGCAGAAGTCTCAACAGGTCCTTCACTTTCTGTAAATGTCTAAAGTGGGAACAAATTATAGTAACATGAATCCCATTGGGTTATTTTCTGATTCATGCCTTAAAGTTCTAGGAAAAATTTATAGTGAGATATATACATAGATTATAAAAAAAATCCACCACTGATAGAAAATGTGTATGTTATACAATCATCTATTATATAAGAATGGCCTGGATCCTCATCTACCCTACTTCTTATGTCA